TACCTTCTTGTCGTTGGCATTCGCGGTGAGGGACACGGCGGGGGACGATGGCCTCCTAGGGGTTACGACTGGTATATCGGATCGTAAATGGGCCTCTTCATCTTCGACTTCTTCTAACGAGACTGAAGGGGTCTTCCCTCGAAGTGGCATTTGGTCACCTGGACGAGAAAGGTCCAGAGGCGGCACTTGGGCGCCTTTGGAAGTCGAGGTGGTAGGGGAGGGCTCGCTGCCCTGTGTTCGGCCCTGGCCACGGGCGCTTGTGCGTGGCGTTGTAACCCCTACTGTAGATCCGTGCTTATTGCTCTTCCTAGACCCGGCGGTACTTCGGGTTGCCCTTTGCGGACGCACACATATCGGCTCCCTCGGGGGGTCTGCACTGTTGGCCGTTGGGTGTCCCTTGGCTACTAGGGGCAGGTGGTCCCTCGAGTTCCTGGCCTCAGCTGCTTTTCCAACGCTTCCTGCTGGAACAGACGCCTCCACAGACGAAGACGCAGGCCCAACAGGCTGGACTGATGGCCTTTCTCCCTCTCCGGGCTGACCTCCCTTCGTCAAGGGTGCAGTCGAGACACGACCTAGGGGGCTCTGCCCTCGAGGGGCTTTCCCTGTGCGGTCGGCCGGGGGTTCCTGAGCTCGGACAGCCCCTAGGGGTTCAGTACTGGGCGCAGGCTGCGCCGAGTGGCGGGAATCCCCTCCTATGCCATCGGGGTTTTGCAATTCTTCTTCCTTAGTTTCTTCAACTGGTAACGTGGCAAAAAAGTTGATATATTGTTCGAACGGAGTACCTACATACGTAGTATAAGTCCGACTAGAAGTACATGAGTGCGCACCACAAGAAACTAAGTCCTTTGCCGACGCCGTCGAATTGCTTATTTCGACGCCGGCTCGTCTTTTGACGACTTCTCGTCCTTCTTCTTCTCTTCCTTTGCTTCCTCGACCTTTGTAGTGGGGGCAAGTTCCTCTTTCTCGGCTTCAGCGAGTAATTGGCGAAGGCGGGCGACGTTGGGCTTTTTACGAGGTGGGAGTTTGACGGGAAGCCACTTGGACTTGTCGTCAGGGCATTTATGCTTCGGGCTCCACCCTGTGTTCCCACACTTAAAGCATCGCTTGTCGGATCGCAGCTTGTCGATCTCCATCGGCTGCCCGGCACCTCCATAGGTGGTTCCAGTGGCGTCCTTCTTATCGCCCCCGGAACCCGACCCGCTTCCCTTCGATTGATTGCCTCGACCCGAACCGCCTTGGTTCGAGGAGGACTTACTGCCCAGTCCTTGGGCTACTCCGTACCTGTAATTGGCGTCGATCCTTAGGACTCGCGCCTTCCACTGTGCGTAGGTTGTGGGGCGCTCGTTGTCCCCATGCATAACCGTGTTTCGCACCGTTGGCCTTATCGCCGCTTCTACCGCTTCGAACATTTGCTTCTCGTCTCCGAACTCCTCGCACTTGTGGGCCAACCGCTCAAACTTGGCAAAGAACTCGACAGCGGACTTGAAGTCCGCTTGTCGGATCTTTTTCCACTCCGCCTTCCAAATGGTCAACTCGGCCACCTCGCGGAATTCGCGCGTAAGATCTTCGGAGAATTCCGCCCAAGTGGGGAATCTCCAGTGACCTTGCGGGTCCCGATATCGGTAGTACTGATCTACCCACCACTGCTGCGTGTCTCCACGGAGGTATCCCTGAGTGAACGTGATACGATAGGGGTTATGCCCCTGATCATTCATGGTGTAGTACATGGGGAATACCGCGAAGTACACCTCGCAATGGTGGAGAAAACGGGTGATGTCGGATGACACCCCCGTAAAGTACTCGGGCTGCGTTACCAGCTTGGGTTTTACGTCGTTCCAGGGGTTATTAGTTCCCCCAGGGCGCCAACTGCCACGGTGGGATTGGGTCCGGTGGGGATGGGACGTGCGGGGGTACCGGCGGTTTAGGCGGTCGTGACAGGGATCGTAGGTTGCGATTCTCTCCTGGAGGTGGGTACCCGGCGGGGTCCGGGTAGTACGGCTGTTTTGGTGGCATCGGGGGAACCGTAGACCCCTTGCCTTTATCGGTGCGAGATGGCCCGGCGCCTGAGTCGTCCAGGTCGTCGTCGTCCCCTCCTGCGCCTCCGAAGAACCCCTCCGGGAAGAATCCTTCCATGTCGACGGGCGCTGGCATAGGCTGCGGTCGCCGATAGGGTTCGCATGGTCGTTGAGGAGCCGTCGGGTTCACCAGGTTCCAGACAATGGCAGCTCGGTGCCATGTCTCTACTTCGAGGATATTTCTCATTAGATATATATCCCCCAGGCCTTTCGCGTGGCGATAATCCTCTCCTGCTTCGGAGAAGAGCCACTGCGGGTCTCTTTCCATGTCTTCCATCATGATTTCATATAGTCCGTGCCAGGGTAACAACTCGAAGATGCCCGGCCTAGGCACTGGCCCCTGGAGAAGGACCTGTCTCACCGCCGTCATTACCGTCGGTTCCAGGGCCTGGTTTGGGGGTCGACTTGGCATCCTCAGCCTCCTTCCTCTCTCGGGCGATTCTGTCGATTTCCTTGTTTCTTCTCCACCTCCCGATGTCGGAGTCCTCATTGGAGATCTCTTCCTGATAGACTCTCCACGCTCGGGCTCTAGCCTCGAGGTCTGTCCCTGCCCTCCGGGCGTATCCGGTGTAGCGAACGGCAGCGGCTCGTATCCGGTTATCGATTTCGGCGGGAGTGGCGTCGGGCTCGACGGGTAAGTCCCAGAAGCCATTGGGCCCGTAGAGGGCATCCTCCTCGGCGCGTCGGATGCGTGCATCATGCGCTCGGCCTCGGTCCATTCGGGCCTGAATTTCTGGGGACTCCCGGACATTTCGAGGGAGTCGGAGGGACTCGACGTACGTGTGATAGAGGAGCGGCCAAGGACGCTGGGACGCTGGGACGGGGTCGGCGAAGGCTCGCGACGAGACTGACGGTTCCCAGTTGGAGACTCCGGCGAGTCGCTCGGCAGAGGTAACTGTTCCAAGTTCCTCGGCGTCGTAATCTGGGAACTCGCTCCAAAGCTCCCCACTCGTCGGCTCATTCGAGGAGACGGGGGAAGGGAGTAGCTGTGGTCTCGGACCTCTCAACGACCGGGTCGGGCTCTCCGCCGGTCGGGACTCCGGCCACAGGAGCTTCTTCCCCGTCGTCGGCGTAGACCCAACTGGTGTCGGGGTACCAGGCGACCGGGGGTCCTCTATCGGTTGGCCAGGCCCCTGAAACAAGCTGTGAGTGAGCTGGACCGGTGGTAGCTGCGGAGGCCCCGAGGCTAAGTTCTCCGGGATCGTCGTAGAAGTCGTCTCGGCGACCTCTGTTGCGCGCCATCCTTGCGCGGTCTCTTGCATCGTCTGCCTGGATCCTTCTGTCACGGACCTCCTCCCAGGTGCCTTGGTGTCCCCAGCCTGAGTGGGAGCCTCCGGTATCGGCGGCATCTTCCTCCTCGCTCGCGTAGAGGTTGTTGAGGATGTCGTCGAGTCGGGTTCTTTCCCACTCGGTGAGCTCGTCCCCTTCGAACTCGGTGTCAGGGCTTTCTTCGCCCTCGACCAGATGCCTGGTGCCTTGTCTTCGGTCTCTGTCGTCGCCAGACTCGTTTTGGACTGGAGACTGGTCGAAGAGACCTGGTAAGGGCGAGTCTCCTCGGTCGAGGAGTACGCTCCGGGTATCGGTGATGTCGATGGAGTCTGCTGGTGCGCTGGAGGCGCTTCTGTAGGAGTCTGTGCTCGACTCTGAGGATCGCGAACTGGGTCGCGACGATGCGTAAAGGGACCCTCCAGGTCCCCCTGAGATGTTGGATTCGACATCTCCGATCGTCTGCTGAGAGGCCGATGGGATGTCTATTACCGGCGGTGGATAGGCCGGGGCGCTCGGGATGTAGTGAAATGGCAGTCGTGCGCGGGTTTGTCTCCGCTGGCAACAACGGCGAAGTTGGTACAAAGTAATGGAGAAGAAAAAGAGTATAAAAGTCGCGAAGACGGCGAGAATGGATTCTGACCAGGGCATCCGTCAGTGGATCGATCCTTGGCGTAAGTCGACGATTTGACCATGCAAGCTGATAAACAGCAAGTATGGTGAGGACGATAAGGAGTGCGATAATCAAGCTAAGGTCAGTCTCGTAATTGGAGCTGCTCATTAACTGGATTTCGCAGGTTTCGTCGGATGGAGAGCTCGTCACTATTAACAAGGCGATTGTTAATATGGAGGCGAGCTGGAGGGCGAAAATAAAGGGTTTCGTGTTGGGATACGTGGCGTCCTTAAACGAGGCGGGGGTATAACGTGTACAGGGCAACTAGCAGACCTGCTAGCAACACTGCCGATATCCCGAGTCCGATTAGGACGAGGGTCAGGGATACAGTCAAAAAGACTGCAAGGATGAGGTCGTCGAAAAGGATGAATTCAAAAATCAGATCGACCACGAGCGCAAGAAGGAGTAGTCGGAAGGGGATTACCCAAAGGACTACTGCGACGAGGAAGTGTATCGGATGAATTTTGAAAGTGAGTGCTTTTCCGTCGGTCCACTCGCTGTGCGTTGACAAGCACCGGGTTGTCCACACGAACGCAGGCGATGACCTCTTCTGGTCAAGCAAGATGATATTTCGTCAAAGAGTTGGGCAGCGCTCTTTCTCGGAAGTGACGCTGAGCAACGTAGAGCGAGCTTCGGCTAAATGTTAGCCACTAACTCTATCGACTTAGATCGTGTTAGGATCGCTACTCGCACTTCGGTAGACGATGCTCTAACAGGTCAAAGGCGATGAAAGTCGATGGACACTTAGTCACGAAGAACGGAGTTCGATGATAGGTAGATTAAACCTTAGCCGAAGCTGGGGTTTAGACCAGCTGAGGCTCTACTTAAATACACGTTGAGTAGACTAAAAATAGTACGGTGAGAATGTCCGATCAACACCGCAGCATAGGGTAATCGTGAATACATAAGAAAAAGAGAAAGAAATGAATAAACCGTAACAGCGCATCGAGGTTCAAATAAATCATGAGCTTACCTTTCTTCTAATCATGGCTAATAATCCACAGCGTATCTCAATTCGCATCAGAGATGCTTATTCTCGCACTTTTCAAGGCTATAGACTGCTCATTCGGCTTGCACCCAATAATGTCGATACTGTAAACCGCTATCTCAAAGCGTTTGACGGTGGTTCTAGAGATATGCCCTTGGATATCGATGATATTGACTACGATGGAAAAGAAGAGGATACCAGAGGTGATAGTGATATTTTACTGTACGTTGTCAATTGAGATGCTCATGCTTATAGTAGAGACTCCGGTAGAATATCAATGCGGCCTGTGTAGGGAGTGTATGTGGGTGCCCATGGCGTACGCACCTTGTTCATTCACATATGTTGCTATATAGGTACCAATGACCCATGTTATTCTTAGGTTAACGTGTGGGCACAACTTCTGTGCACACTGTATAATTCGGCACCTAAAAACTCACCAGGAGAAGCCGCCTCATTCTGCTCGTGGTGTTGGTTCACCCGCTGGATGCCCTCTCTGCACCTCCCGCATCAGGAGTCCACCATCTTATAATCTTTTCGTCAGAGATGTCATCAGAAAATGGGCGGAGGATATAGGGTTCAGACCTAAGACTAGTCCAGCGGTTAAAGTTGATGGAAGGAGAGCGTCTAAGATAGTGAAGCTATTTTTTGCGTTAAAATGAATCGGGAGTGTACTAAAATGTTCTGCTATCTGATACTGTCATGAAATCTCATCTCATTTAGTAGCGTAGTGTTTACCTTTACAAATACTGTTAGATAACCATTGGAAAATAGGACTACCGCTGGGAAAAACCTATAGTGAGAAAAAAGTGGAAAGATCCGCAAGAACAACATCGGAAACCTAAAACCTAAATATATCCCAAATGTATCCCTGTGGCACGGTTGTTGCACGTTTATCAATGGAGGGTGCAATATAGGGACGGTTGCCTCTCCCCTCCCACTTCCTGTATCAGAATATTGACATCATCGACGCTATGCCTGACAACTTTGGTTTAATCATGAAACGAGGGAGGCTGCTAGTTTCTGAGTGCTATCTGGCACGTGGAGGCTTTGAAGCCTCTGTAAACTGGTCCCATGTCGGTAATGCTGACATACTGTGTTCAAACTCGGCAGAAGTTACCCAGCATACCAGACCTACTATGGTTTCTCTCATCACCGTACCGTTTCCAGGAGGATGGTACAACAAACTCTCTGGTATGAGGGACTATGACGAGAGATATCCGAAAGCATTGTCAAAATTGAAATGGCTCCTCCACAGTGAAAGCACCTGTGGGTACCATCTTTATGGATGATTGGAATCAAGCAACTTCCGTTCTCAGAACCCTTCAACAGCAGATATCTGTCGAACAACCAATGGACATGTTATTGCAGAGGGATTCCAGCACAGAACTCTGTCTGACAGCCAAAATGTTCAAGAAAAGAAATGTTTGAATGTTTTTCTTAAGTTAACTTGGGTTCTGACCTGGTCCGATGACCTAGATACTGGATTCACCTGAAACTGCCACCGAGCAGTATGTGGTACCCTCAAACTTCCGAAAATATGTTCAGGGAATTCACTGTGCAACATTGTCTCAACCCTCTCGACATCAAGGACCACAAAAGTTGTAAGCTTGACATGGGGTCCAATGCAGAAAAGGCAGTGGGCAGTTCACTATGCTTGCTAACATTCGAGGCAAGTGTTTAACCTTCCAGGTCGATATTCACCGGTTTATTCACTCATAAAATGTCTGAGCTAAACCAGATTAAGCACTATCGAATAGATTCTGTCGGCTGCAACAAGGGACTCATTCAATGCGTTGTTGAAATCTGTAAAAATACTTGTACCATTTGGTTCACTTCAGGGTGTTGTTGCCGATATGAAATTCTCATTGTCATGTGGAGTTGAAGGCAGCCAATATTTTCGGACCCATCAAACAAGATGGTGTGTTCTGGTACATTGTTCTTATTATTACAAGTAGCCGATAACAAAATTTCAGAACTCGACTTCAAACATTTAAATAACAACACCGATCCCGTGTCCAAAGGTCAGGGAAAGAAAGCAAAGCCAGATGAACCCAAATCTACCAATACAAATGCAAAACATAAGTAACAAGTACCCTGCTATAAGCAATATTGCTATATTTTGAAAGTGCCTGCAATTTGGGACAAGTTCATAGTCATCAAGAGGAAACGCAAGGCAGACGATGATTTGTTAAGAGGAGATAAGCGGAAGAAAAGTGGAAATGATGACGACGCTTAGTCTTAGTCTAGGAAAGAGATGCGAGAGGACAGAGTATGTTTCTCATGCGGGTCATAATTAGGTTTAGCGTTTTAGCATCATACGTGTACATGTCGTTAAAAAATATTTCCAGGCTGAACACGTCCATGACATTCTTCTCTGGTAATAACACAACCTCTCATAATAGTGCCACTGTGACCGATATTTGTATTTATATGCTCTAACAAAGCATAAATGAACCGATTGTACAACTAGACCATCATTCTTCCTACTCCTGTTCTACTACTACAACCGAACGTGCTCAACCATCTTATCCCCTTTTGCTCATGGTCTCCAGGCCCAAAGCAATGGTGCGAAGCTCGCGTGTGGAGCGGCGAAGAGCAGCTCTTGGAGAATCTTCCGAAGGTCATGAAGGTTGTGAACTGTCGATACTCGATACTGTTGACATGGTTTTGCTTCGGACGCTACTGCCATCATCATCAGTATCAGAGCTGATCGCATCAGGCCAAGGGTCTCTGAATGGTCCTTGAGGAGGGTTAGCAACTATTATGGGGGCCGCATAAATAGTATTCAGAAAACCGGTGGATTGTGGCATCGTCATGACCCCGGTACTGACAAAGCTGTGATCAGGCTCCGTCATGACACCAATACTAATAAAATGCGGAGGAACTTCAGAAGGTGACAGGTGGAACATGGTGTGATAGGTGACGCCCGGACTGTTTATGAAGGGTAACCTACTCGAGTCAAGAATCGGAAGCTTGTGCTCGGCTGAACAATTCTCGAGCTGAGGGTACATCCAACTGATGCCATCCTCTTGTAAAAGAGTGTGTCCGTTAGCAAGCGGGGAGTAAATCCTCCAAGGAGGAGGGGGGGCTCCATATATATTGACTAGTTCTTGGGGCATGATGAATCCAGAAGGGAAAGTGAGATGATCAGGAACAGTGAAGTGGATAGCCATGCTTCGCCGTCTGTCATACCATGTATTATGAATTTGCCCATCGAAGCGAGCGTCGTTCTTGTTTGCATGCAAGAAACACCACTGTCCTTGTTCGTCTGAGAGTGTGGACTCGTCCTTGACTTGGTAGATATGATCCCATAGGTCAAACGGCGTCCTAATCTCTTCTACTCTCGGTGTTTCTATGAACGCTACTCTGGACTTGTATATCATCCTCCTGGGGTAGCTCAAGGCTACGTCGCTATGCCAGACAGGGGAAAGATCTCCTTTCCATTCATAGTCATGGTAGCCACGGTTCTTCGCTTCCAATCTGACCTGTACCATCCTATCGCTACGAGGTTCTCTCATCTCGCTGTACCCTTGCATCCTGCTCGAAGAGAAAGGCGTGCAACTTTTGAACACCTGTTTTTCTGGTGTGCATGCTCCAGATGGTAACGCATGGGTTTCAGCATTGACGGCTTTTTCAACAGCGAAAGAGTCGTATGGAGAGCCGGGCCCAAAGCGTCGGTGGAAAATGGTCAGATCACAGGGAGTATAAGTGGACGCTTTGAGTAGGTCAGCCATCTCTTCCGATGAGAGTTCATGGGAAAAATACACAGGTACCTTTGCAACGTTATGATACCAGGCGAGTTCTTCACTATTCAGCGCATTACCCCACAAGCCTAAAAAAGACATATCCGCAGGTGGAATGGGTTTATCTCTGAAAGAAGTGGATGAAGAATTGGAGTTTGACATGGGAGGGAGTGAATGATAGGTGATACACGCATCTTTGATACGCAGACCTCGTTGAATAGCAACGATGCAATCAAGCATCTTGGGGTAAGAGGCTTCGCGTAGTAGGAGATGAATGGTATCACATTCAGGAAAGGTTGGGAGTACTAGAACCGCATCGTTATTCCGGTGATGAAGCTTTTCCTTAACGTGCCATAACTGCAGGTCCAAGCAAAAATTTCGACGAAGGAGGTCACCGACTAAACCCTCATCCATAGCACAGACATTGTCTTGTTTCTGTATCAAAGCTGGCAACACGCATGCCCATTCCACCAGTTTCCTATACGGCTGTATGAACGGCAACCAGGGTTGGGCTGCATCGTATTCTTGAGGATGCTCGGTGACGTCAAAAGGGCCTAAATGACCGTCGAGACGAGGGTAGAAAGTATCTGATAAGTTAGACGGGAGGAAGTCCGGATCTTTGACACCAGGGAAGAAAGGAAAAGTGTACCCATCACCATTCAGAGACCACAATTCTACCATCTTAACCCAATCAATCTGCCCGGGAATTTTAGAATATTCAACTATCCTGCCTGAATATGTTCCTTTCTGGGGGACCTTGAAAGCCAGCCCACCTCTTATGGTGGGAATGTAATCGTAACCCGACCAGCTGTAGGAACGATGAACGTCATTCAGAGTGAAAATTAGGCCGTTATGTTCAGTGAGATGTTCCATGAGCTGTACAAGCGGGGAAAGGTTTGATAGAGTGCGCAAAGTCAATAGAATGCAAAGTTGGTAGAGTGTAGAGAACGTTTAAATATCTGTTTTTATCTGAAAACTTGTTTTTGGATGCGTGAGAAGGGTATTCCAGAAAGACAGTGTCCAGGCTGTCTGTTTCTGTCGGATCAGAATAAGCCGGTGTAAGGGGTGCAAAGGGAGCAGGAGAACTACAGGGTTATTGTTGATGGCAGAAATACGGTATTATTGTGGCAACGGAGTTTGCCATTTTCTCATCTTTCATTGGAGCGGCATTTGCCTCTCCCCTCTCTTTACCCATCTCATCTTCATTGATCCCTTGTTGCCTGCCACTTGTTCCCTCTGTCAAATTACAAAATTATGCCATCCTATCATCTAAGCGTTGAGCATCCATGAGGTACACGACACACATTACCAACTATCCTTGCTCATGTGTGGATATCAATCGCGGCAGTGCAGCTGGCGTACACAACATGCAAAAGGGGTCGCAAAGGCTCTTAGGGGTATATTCGGTGTGTGTTTACATTGCGTGTTTTGAAGTTCAGATCTTTTTAGCAGGTGTCATTCATATTAAAAATTAGCTCCATGTCTGATATTCACCGTATTTCCTTGTACCCTAGTATCATAGCATAGCTACACGTGTGAAATCCAGTATTTTATAGATTTGTTGCATACCTGAGGACGGGTCGGTGGCGGTGCACCCTAAAATGCCCTGCTCGGAGAGAGGAATCGATGCTCCGGTTTGATCCGAATGTGTTCTCTTTCCTTTATCAGTTGGATAGCTGTAAATCTTACAGTAATTCAGGGGTTTACAAACAAGCGAGTTATCTATCCAGGTGTCTTCTTCATATATACTTTCAGATTTTGTATCCAGTGGCTACCCACCATTGTGGTTGGGCACCCTCAAACCGTATTTCCGGAATTATTTAATCAATTTAAATTATCAGTTGTCAAAGAAGCCGTCAGACTTGCTTTTATTATGTTCATGTCATCTCGCTCATGCCTGAAGGGCCCGAAACCGATTTTGTAGCTGCGTTTCTAAATCACTGCTCTCAAAATCAATTAAAGGACAAAGTGGTGCTTGGTGTATATGGTGATCTCAAGAAACCGGTTCGCCTAAGAAAAAAAAGCCAACTACGACTACGGAGGAACTACCGTCTCTAAAACAGGCTTCTTTGGAGTCTTACAATTTCAAGCAGAATGATGGACAAGAGCAGGAAGTTTCCTTCGACTCCTTCGATGCAAGTTCATTAGACAAATCTCTCAAAGCGGCTACTGTATGTGCACTGTGTTTTGTAATTGCTTTTTTGCGCAACTTTGCCTTACATTATTAGGTGGTAAAACTTCGTTATTTCACCCCAATCTTCAGAGGCACGTCTAGCACCAGCAGGCACAAGAATATATGGCCTGATCCTAAGGTTGTACCTGATCTCGCGACGAACGACAGTCCCGACGCTTTCCTAGAGGCTGATCTGAGATTGATGGGGGCACTATACCACCAGAGATGGTATATACTCGAGTTTCCCAAGCATCGCTACTTTTGTGTAGGATCCTTTATGCTTCTATTGATCTGCCTGCATTGCTCATCCACTCCCTTACAGCTTCGACCGAATCTGCACACCTCCGTCAACTTGTACGCGCGTGACATTTGGGATCACCAGATTGTTCCTCTTCCAGCTGCAGGGCGTGGTTTCGGTATAGGTATAGCATTCGATTTTGGAGACTACATACTCTCCTTCAACAGCAGGGATTGTCTTTTTGAAGTGCGTTGTTGCGACTGCAGCCTATTTACGCATGTAATTTTGCAATCTAGAGTGTTTTACACGCATACTGAGAGATAGTGAGCGAGCGGACTAAAACTACACGTTGACACTAATGCTACGTGGTGCAATGATATGGAATATAACTTATGGCATAAGAAGCAACGGGATTCTAAACAGGACTTAGTCACAGCACTGTACCTGACAGGCATGCGTGATGAGAAGGCCAAACCCTATACCCAATGCCTTAGGCTCTAACTTACAAGCACACTCGCGGGAGCTAGATAAAACCTTGAAGATTGCACTGGCACCGAGAACACTTAGCGCACTCGCTAACTGTGATGCGCCATACCTGAAAATCTGGGGAAATCCTTAAGCGAGCTGACAGATATCACCGGCACGAGCTTGGGCAATGGGCTTTGGCCGAAGTCTGCGAGCCCACGTTCCATTGTTCTGAGTCCCATTGTTTGAAGACTCACTTGTTGCCGTGTCTACAAGAAGCCTCTGTGAATCCAAGAAAGAAGGCCTGAATGACATACGCCAGAACTGATAGTTCCGTGCGCCTAGACCTGTTGGTCGCTAGAGAACGAGCCCACGGGTGTCGGGAGAGCACCTCTTGGCACGCGTTTAGCGAGCTCACTATAGAAATGAGACTAAAACTGGGAAGTCCGACTCGGATGCTCAGTAAGGCGGCGGTGGCAACGTGCTACACATGTAGGAGTCTGGGTACTGCGTGACGTTTGTAATTCTAATTCCCCTGTAGTATAAGTAGACTGGTTACAGTAGGTAGAGGCCAAGTTTCGAGCCCCCGAGTTCCCGTGCACGCGTTGAAGGCAGTACTGTAACAAAGGATCAGTTTGTGACTTCGAGCTGTGCATAGAATTAGCGAGCTCACTCAGAGAAATACAAGATACCCTTTTGATAAGACTTTTGAGAACTTAGTCAGAGTGAATATGAATCAGTGACGCTGTTTCTGTTCTGTTAAGTGTGATAAGTCTGTTCGGAGAATGTGTTGAAGTGGAAATCTGAGATCTGTTCTGTTCTGTTCTGTTCTGTTCTGTTCTGTTTCAGTCTGTTCCGTGTCAGTTCTGTTTGAAGTTCCGTTTCTGAATCTGTTTTCCGAGCACTTCTGAAGTGTTCTTGAGTCGAGATAACCTGCGGGAGTTAGTTGGAGAACCCCTACATACAGTTGTGTAGCGAGCGGGCTAAGTCAGTGCTTGCCTGTGGTGTTCTTTTAGCGAGCTCACTAAAGTTTCGGCATGTATTGCCTCTGTTTCTGTTGGGATCAGTGTCCCTTGTGTATTATAACTCAAATCTGCCTTGAAGGTTGCGTCGCGCCAGTGAATGACCTTCCTGTAAAAAGTTCCTAGACTTAGGAATTCATTAGAGAAAGCTTAGCTTCGCTAAGAGTGCTGAGAATAAGAGAAACTCTTTGAGATATTGAAGTATAGTTGGATCGCATTAGGAATAATCGCTCCCTCTAGAACTTACGAGGGTGATTGTAGTTTGTGTAGTTGTGTGAGTGTGTGTGTGGGTTTTTGAGGTTTGCCTTTTAGCCCGCTCACTATTCCACAGGTGCCCACAGCCAGCCTCTTCAGCGTAGTGTATATCATTTTACTTTACGCGCAGCACAACTAATCCATTGGTATTGGTCTTTTGTCAGATTTTGTGGCACAGCCGTAAGAATAATCCGTTTCCTTCCCCTCTATCCTTGCCATATACTATCACTGGCACCGTCTTGGACTATTCAGTACACACGTACCACTTCTGGCTCACCTCAGCTGTCAAGTTCAGTGGAAAGCATTGGCTTTCAATGGAACCAACATGGATGGCCATCAAATCTGATCACACGGCATTTGACGCCTTTGGCATGTATGCTGCTAGTGTCCTTTGTTTCCTTGCAGGTGAGGTAATTTTCGAGTCGTGGTGGAGGCGAAGGCTTTATCCGTTTTCCGTTGTTGTTAGGTCTTCCTCCATGGATGCCGATTCGAGGGGTGGTACGATGCCCAGCAAGAATGGCGTGCCTTTGCGAGGCTGCTTACCAGTTCCTTTTTAGTTCTCATTTGAAGAACAAGTATGTGTACACAATCCTTCGAATAACAAATAGCATGAAGCTGACGATGATTTCAGATTCAGACTGAAAAGAGCAATGTCCTACGATCATGTTGGTCTTTGCGCTACATTGGAAGATCAAATAAGCCATAAAGACAATATCTACATCTATTGCAATGCAAAGTGCTCTGTCAGCGCCACAGCAGACCGAGCCTTTGATCTCTGGGATTTTGAACAGTCTCAGGTACATTGCAAAAAAAATAAATATGACATGTTCTGACAGTATATTGTAGGATATGGACCTGTGTTTCGACGTTTTCCAACCGCGATTGCTGCCTTACGCAAGACATCAGGGTCATCTTTGGCATTTGATAGCGCAGGACCTAGTCACTATCGAAGACCAGTATCAAGATCCCCTTAGTTCAGCATATAGGCCCCGATTCAAATACGTTACAGAAGGGGACTCGTTTGATTGTGGTACGCTCAACTCTGACGATTGTTACCTCCTTTGACGTTTATATGCCCTTATGGTGGGATTACGGAGTACAGACGGAAGCTGCCATTTGTTACCTGCTCTTATATCGGATTATGGGCCCAGGAAGAAGCAATGAACAACATGCCTTTATGAAACTAAAGAATCTTCGGGCATATGGACATTGTATCACATACCTTCTAATGTACAACATGCATTGAGATGGGTAAAGGCATCGGATTTCGACAAGGAGAGTAAATTGCTAGAGGTGTGTACCGTGTTATCAGAGAAGGTTCGGCCAGTTTAAACTTCATTTTCAGGTTATCAAACGTACCAAGTCGGAGTGGGTCGTGGGACCTCTGGACTTTTGCGGCGTCTCATTAGTTCAGAGGATGGGAAACGGACAGTGAGTGGATATATCTTGATTTCTCGTGACACATACACACGCATATGCAGGTACATTCACTACGTCAAATACCTTGGCCACGACGCCTTGAATCCTGCACCTCTTACCTACCGTCTGATTCAAGACATCAAATATCATGTCATGGGTCGTATCTGCGATACTGTAAATGTGGCCAAAAAAAACGGAACATGGGAACCTGGCTACTGGAAGTGTCATGGTAGGTCTTATAATATGCCTTGTGCCCATCCGTTGAGGCAAATGTTAATAGGATACACCTTACATTCTGCTAAGCAGGGATTTATCAAGCTGACCAAAAAAGGAACACCCATACTTCGTTCCAAAAATGCAAAACTCATTCATTGTCACCATGTGCAAGCTCAGGAGAGGCGTTCAGAATTAAGAAGAGCATTCAAAGTCAGATGCAATCGCACGGAGAAGGAACTATGGATGGTTAGACACAGCAGAAAGGTAAAACCGGTTGTAAGGATGCGATTAAGCTCCGATGAATCAGTTGTCCTAGGAACTTCCAATGGTCAGGTTGTGAAGAGCAGGCTAAGGTCAAGAGGCTAAATAAGCAGATACAGTGTCCATACATATTTGTTCAACCACTTATTGTATTCAGTAAACAATGTATCATTACATGGCAGACAGATCTACTGAAGTTTAAGAGTATGAAACTCGAGGTTGGAGCGAACATTCTGTCGCATCTCCCTCATTATTCTTCCTTTTGGCCTTCGTGTTACTCTGCCTTCCTTTGCTGCTGCTGGACGTACTAACTTGTGGCTGTGGGCTGCTGGTTGAACTAACTTGTGTCTGTGAACTGTCGGCGTCACGCTCATGCTCATACAATACCTGTTGAAAAGGTCCCGGGTCTCCGATTCCTCCATTCGATTCATGTCCAATAAAATTTGCATCAGTCGGTGCGTCTGGCTGTCTCTCTCGGCTATTTTCCAGGTCACAGTGTCCCTCATCTAACTCGTATATGGGAGGGTGCACAGGGTGCATGGCTGCAGCCTCCATGCCATGCATCGGCTTGGCAGAAACTGGGATATTTTGGTCTAGGTCTAGGAATGATACCTGTGGCGTCGATATATGTACAGACGGTAGGTTTTCAATGCCATCATTAATTACAGACATAGGACCTGTTGGTCCCAAAAGCGATGCATACGCGGTTGATGGACCTGTAAGTTGTTGCAGAATACCCAACCGTACTGCTCCCTCAGAACCCGGTATTGGGAATGATGGAAACACGGAACGATTTGTAGATGATCGCACCAGTGCAGGTGTAATAGGAGAGGCCCGGGCTGCTCTATCCGCAAGACCCAGAGCCAGCTGGGTAGAGGAATGAATATCGGTTAATTCTGAATGGGAAACCTGCAAATTTTCGATGTTTGCAGACGCCGAGACCCCTCTCGGCTCTCTCTCTATAGATTGGATCTCAGCAGGTGGGAGCAAAGAGCCTGAATTTAATATAGACCCTTTCTTAGCAGGTAGCGGGTGATATGGACGTGATCTCCCCTTGTAAGGACTAGATAGGGGAGGAGGCGCACGCTTAAGGACACATATTTGATGCATTGTGCAGCAAAATGCGTGCTGTGCTGGTTGGTTATTGTGGTGAATGCTCCAATGGCGCATGGAAAAATGTACCTCTACTAGGGCACCTGTAAACTGATTAAGACGTGATTTTATTGAAAGATGTATTCATTCGTACCTTTAAGCAATGCTGATACCTTATGGGGAGGTACTGAGGAGTCGTCGGTATCAAAAACCTTTAAACAATTGACATGATGGGTTTGCTTTAATTGGTCGAGACCCATTTGGTCTTCTGCTTCCACTGGCCAAGTTTGTATGACTTCGTTGAGCACGCTGTTTGTAGGATCCTTCACAAAAACAAGTTAGTGCTCGTAGGTTCTTCACATGAGAGCGACCCTCACCAACGCCTCAAAAACAGGAGCTCCAAACCGGATTTGAGTAGAATGATTCTCCGTCTGAATGCAGCTACATGCAGAGGTGCTTGTGGCGACTTGAGAGGTCGCTCCGTTAATTCTACCAACAGTATTTGCCCAGTCTTTTCGGAACTCTGCATCTTGTGGTTCTCCTAAAAGCAACGAAAACTTGGCATTTTTCATTGCACCAAAATCTTTTTTCCAACCACCCAACTTGTCGGCCCAGAACCTTGTCGGAAGCACATCTCCTACTGCAATGAGAGATGCCTCTCCAATTTCTTCGTCTTTTGAGTTTGCACTCTGGATAGCCGTTAGAATGTGGCCACTCCCTCCAAAAGTTTTCCAGCCAAATGATGACGGGAAATGTGTGCTCGGGACATACTCTCAGCAAAGATGAAGGTTAACCCGATGCTGGTGGTGACTCGGTGTAGTAGACATTTATATGATATGATCAAGCGGCAAATCATCTAACTCCGACGTTTTGGTAGCAGATGCTGTTTGTAAGTTATCTTGCCCCCCCCTTTTATATGCATACTACTAGCACTTAGTACCACTAGTAGCTGCTGGCAATCACCTCCAGTGATGAGTAGATGAGGATCTAGATCTAGATCAACGTCAATATCTAAGATTATTATTATCATCGGATGTTACCGACGGAGTTATCCATTAAGGCTGCGGCACCGGTACGAAAATATCCATTGAAGGCTGCGGCTCTCTCCAGAGTACTGCTATTTATCTGTCAAGTTCATCCACTCTGCCAACAGCCCTTCTAATAAAAGAGTATGCCTGTGCTAAATTTTGTGTAGCAACCTCCTATCCAGATTCCAGAGCGATGACACCTCCCAGTTTTCAAGTTCAATATATATACTGTCTCAAATTTTATTCCGACGCTTCAGGTGATAAATAACTAATGCAACCACTTACCGTCTTACTCGCTTGCAGTTACCATGGACGACTCAACCGACGACACTGTTATCGTGGTTAGCAGGACTCTCGAAATGAAACCCGTCATTTTAAACATTCTGAATGTCGCTGGGAGTCTTGCCGTCCCTCTTAGTTTGATGAACGTTTTAGTTTCGGCAATGGTGGTATGTCAACATCTGTTTTTCCATGTCACAAATGTCCGTCTAATACCTTGTTTGAAGTCTAAACGATCTGTCATATTCGATATCTGGGAGCCTGAAGAGGCAGAAATTTACATGGAACACAGTTTTCTATATTTGTGGTTGCGACCGGAACAAGTCATGACAACAAACATCGATGGCGCTCAGATTGCATTATGCATCTTCATCCTGGACTCGTCTAGCTTCAACCCATGTCTTGCGTTGGGATACGCTATGTTGAACATTGTCAAAGACTATGGGAAGGAAGGAGTGGTAGTCTCTGTTGCTTATGAAGTCAATTCATTTGGAGCGTATGCCATCCTTTTGCTTGGTGATGGGTTCCAAGCTTCGTACGATGAGGCCAGAAGGATGGCTAAAGACAGCCCAGAAACCTATGGAGATGTATGTCATGGGGCGCCAATTATGGTACATCCTAAAAATAAGCCGGCAGTGAGGAAGGCCTTTCAAGACCGCGTCCTAATATCACGAGTCTATACTCACTTGTGGTGAGTGCACAACTGACTGTACACTGGTCATGAAATTGAATAGCCATTGTATAGTCTTATGGGATGCAGATAGCTGTAGATTTGTGTAGCCACCATGACGAGAATATAATGTAATCTGCCACAACAAAATTAACAAAATTCCCTGAGTAACAAGGAAACCCGATAAACCAATGTTAGAACTGAAATCTGAGTAGAATGAACTGAAAACTGCCGGAATGAATATAAGATTAGAAGACCATATGTTTTTAGAAGATAGTTTATCAGGAACAGACACGCATTAAAAATATCCTACATCAAAATACGTGTGGCAGATAACATATCCAAAGTGATAATTACTCTCAATCCATGTGATCCATGTCCATGTCCGAAAATGCATAAGTCCTCTTCACCTCATCTAGCGAGTACTTATTCAATGTGGCGCGGACCAGCTTTTTTTCTGATTCCATATTCCTACACGTAAAGATGTTAATTTAGCGTATGTGCAAAATGGAAATAAAGAACTGTACAAATCGAGCACCGATAGAACGGTTCCATCACAAAGACAACGCTGCTGTTCTACCAGCACCGGTACTGTTTTTAACAAGCGGCAGAAGGGCTTAGATAAATCTTTGAGTGCCATTTTGGGGCCTTCTTCTTCACTGTCTGCTGATTGTCGCATTTGAAAGTCGGTCGTGACATGGCTCAAGGCAGCATCAAACACCGAGGTAAGTATCCAGGCTAACCTCGTAAACTCCGTTTCATTGACGATTGACCAAGTGGTCTCATAGATGATCATGAAAGCTCGCAACCAGCGGCATCTCGATCGCAAGATGGTGGGCATAGACTGAATTATAGCTGGAATTTGTGGAATGAAGTATGGTCCTCTGAAGATGATCGTGAGATTGTCGATGCTGGAGTGCATTGGCAGTGAAAGGAGGGAGGCATGGGTCTGTGCCAGATGTATTATATCGATGTCGAGGCTCAAGGTGAATAACTGTGTGGAATACGAGAAGTCGAAAGGCATAGCTGCTGCATAGGAATGTTAGATTGAGCTTCTATGTAATGAAAATGTCTCGGTTACTTACCCGTGGTAGTGGACCTTATCTCCCAGACTGCAGGCCCTACCAACTTCAAGAAAGCAGCCAGATTATCCTGGTTTGCAGCGCCACCATTGATATGGAACGTTCTGAAGCTACCGGGTTCGTACCAGCATCTGGGTTGCAAAACCACTCAAGAGGGTTTGCCCCTGTAGTAGATTGTACTACAAGCGTGTCAATGACAGGCCGAGACTGCAGTCGGGATGGATGGATGCAATCGATGAAAGGAAGACCTGGGTCACGTAGGAACTTGGTGTTATAGAAATAAAGAGGGGAGAGGATAGGCTCTGGCCAGTAAATGTGCAGTGCGTCCAGGTATGAGAAATGTCTCATGAATATGTTCATTCCTAGCACCGACGAACTGCAGAATACGAGCTTCATGGTTCTGACGTGCTCACAGCTGCCTGTGTAGACAGGGCAATTCGTCTAAGATGACATTGAAGAATGCTGCAGTATGGAGGTTGGGGAGTAGCATCATCAAATCCGTAACGGCGTCTCGGGAAGAATAAGAATGGGAGCTTGGTGCGGTGAGAGGAAAGGGGGCAATGACGTGGAGCTGCCGAACAAACGAGATGATATGTTTTTTGGTTGAAAGGAAATCAATGGCCGACTGGGCATCGTTAAGGACCGATAGGTACGACGGAGTGATGAGCTTGGTGCCAGCTCGTATGGACATATGCCTCCACATATAAGGACGTAGCATATGTAAGAAACCCTGACTCATCAAGGACATTCGCCTAGTGCATACAGCGCAAAAAAGGTCATCGATACCATCGCATTCATCGTGGAAGACGATACTCCAGATGAGAATTTTTTCTGCTATGTCGACAGGAGTGTTCGAGAAGGACATGATGCGATGTGGGCCGACGACAATGCATATTGAGCAGGCGCTTTAGTATTTTCTCAGAAAAAAAATCTCAGTGGGCAGGCCAACTTGGAACTTGCCGTGTCGTTTGTTGTCTGGGTTGTCTGGTTGGGAACTTGCCATGATGTCCGATTGGAAGGAACCTGCCGTAACTTACAGTATCTTACGTATATGTATATATTTGAAACGACCATGGTGATCGTGTTTGGTCTATTTAGGAACTGCAAAGTAGCCACTCGATACCAGAAATTGCCCAAATTAAACATCTTTCATTTTCAAAACAAAAACAAAAGTAACTGGGAGAATGCCGAATTAAGAAAGCAGAATGAATGGCATGTGCCTCTTTCATGTTCAACCGAAAGAATGCCTAGAGTAAATAAGAAAAATCTATTGTACTGGCCTGCCCCACTGTATTTGACATTTGGATATCTGTAGAGTAGTCAAAGATCAATATAGGAAACGGGAGTAAAGAAGAGACCGCACCAGAAAGGACAAAGGACTTTTTGCCAAATAGACTTTGCATACCCAGAAATCCAATTACAATGGTCTTATCAGCCGCCTTTCTCGAGTACCAGTGATTCAGGATAGAATTGGCAATGAACCGTCATTTCGACGAAGCGGTCTCAATCTATCACTTCCATAATAGCTCTGTCGACTTCGTTGAGATCAGCTAGGGATTCCGGGTTCCAACGACATGGAAAGTGTATGAGGTTTAAGTTGATATTGCGTAGTGTAGGCCTCGGAATGCTGCGTAAGGAATGCGACAGCATTTTGAGACCGTTGTCGCCTGTGACAATGGACAGACTGTGTAAACCCGATAGTTTTGATAGAGTTATGATGCAGTTGTTGTGTCGACAAGGTGAATTGAGACAGTCATAAGCTGAAGTGCATCCAATGAGAAACAATAAATGCGGAATACATATAATAATGATGCACGGTACACATCAAGGATAAGGTGGCTTACGTCGGGCCCGAGTCCATCCATGAGGAAATTTGCCCTTTCGCACCACCATTCACAATAGGAATGTATGCGTAGTTCAGATATTGTGGGTAACCATATCGAGTGCAACCATTCGTAGTTCTCCTGCACGGAATCATCTTCTACTTCTGGCATAGAAAGATCGAGTGACCTGAGACATGCCAAAGTTACATGGGTCTCCGGAGATATGTCGTCTGCTGTGACATCGACTATGGTTGAAGGAGCTATTGTCATTTTAATTAACGATGGCAGCACTGTGATTGCAAGTAACTTGGTAAACAAGATATTTGAAGACAGAAAGTTAGATGGACTCACCTGGCAGTAGGTTATTGAGATCATCGGCGAAAACAATGCCTCGACTGAATGTTAGCGACTCAATTTTCCGAAGGGGTTCCGACAACTGTGGTAAAGTAACACTGTCTCCACTAAAGCCTTCAAGAATGAAGGATGTCGCAAGGGGTAGCTGGACGAACAGCTCCATCAGCCCTGCAACATCCTCTTTCTTGACCGACCCTCCACAAAAACGCACCACCCTGACGTAACGATGGATATCTGGATAATACCGTTGAAGGTTATCCGCCGCTTCTTTAGCTGTCCAACGTGTGGTTTCCAAAATCCATACATATCCGGTAGGACACGGGATGGTCTCGTTAACGGAGATGGTACGGAATTTAATGCGGCAACATTCAGAGAGGAAGCATCGGTGAACGAGAGAGCAGTTGTCTAAGTCTGGCTTCGATGTCAGGAAATGGACAATATGGTCGATGATTTCTTGGGAGAGCTTATCCATGAGTGTATTGTCACCAAGAAAGATAACAGGCAGAATTAGCAGCGAAGGGTTCTAAAAGCAACAGTGATTCAAATAGTACTGAGCACGTGTGTGCTTCTCTCTTCTCTCGGAAGCTCTCGGTAACAACCGTGTAAAACGTTACTGGATAAGTTAACATGACGTTATAGGGAATCTATACAATGCTAGTCTGTATATCATGTGAAGTGCAAAGCTTTCGGCCCACTGCATCTGCCAATCGCACCAACCTTTGTTTTATCCAACCGGCCAGACGTTCATCATCTACTTTTCCCATGCCTCCATGCGTACCGCAGACGACCATACCTCGAAAGGATCTGGGGTGGACAATGTCACACAGGATGCTATCCAGCATCGAAAGGTAGTCGGGAGACTTTCCAACCCACTGTCCAGGACACCACGATTTAGGCATGTTTAGAATGCGCAGTTGAATGAATTCAAGTGAAGGCAATGGCAGCGTCCTGAGGGATCGTTGTAAGAGCCCTAGAGCCAGATCTCCTTGCACTGTAATAACACAATTTTGTAAGTGTTTAAGGCATTTCAAACATAAGCGACTGCAACTAGAAGTACGCTTTAGAGCATGGTACGCTATACAGATATTCAGCACCTCTCAGGGTGAAGAAAGGAATACGTCTCATGCCATATCAACAAGTCCAAGTGAATGACAGCCAGAGTGCCATCTAACAGCATATTTGCCATGTCAATATCAGCTTCGTGGTGAAGGTGGAGACCCAAGTTCTGGAGGAACTCGAACGTAAACCCGCTAAGCCATCTGTACGACAATAAGTCGCCCTCCCACCCTACAGAGCAGAATCCCACATGTAGTTGGTGTAGCTGACCCAAAGCGATGTGGGTATCCACCGTCACATCGTCCATGGTGATATTGTAGTCGTTGGTACACCCGAAGTCGCAGGTGGTCAAACGCAGCGATGCTATGGAAAAACAGTTCGACGATATATATCTCTCCGTCAATTGTGATTCGCGCACCTTGTACTATCGCATTTAGCGTCTGGGTGGAAATGGAACAACCTTTAAACCTCAATGTTAACAGCATCTTCATGGACGATAGCAGCAATCTGAGTGAGCCCATGAAAAAGCCAAGGTCGGTGCCCACAAACACAAATTCCATCACAGATGGTGCTGTTTCTATTAGCTGGATTAAAGCATCTACATCTATTGTCTTGAGATATTCGGTGAAGAAGACAATCCTGCGAATGTTTTTGCCGACTTCAGGGAAATCACAACGTATTGCACGACTGACGGCTACCACGGTCCCCAGACACCGGTGGCTATATCCTTTGATGTCACCCGCACAGAACAATGGAGGAAAGGGAGGCGCTTCGGAAAGGTGGATGGTAGCGTAACGAACTCGTCGACATGCATTGGCAAAGGCATGATTCGTCATGCACAAAGATGACAAATCTGGCTTTGTAGAGACATAGGACGCGATAGCCTCTCTCGTCTCTTGGGCAAGCTTCTGCATGGTTATGACAAGTAGATACTGGGACTGCATATATATTGCATATTGGGTATATCCGTATTGAGATCTAAGATTCGGTCAGAACAAAACAAAGACCCGACATAGCACACGAGCAGGAGGGTTATTAGTACGGACCTTGATAGGATAGAATATACCAAATACCCTTATCGACGACTTATCAAACATGGACATAGTCGGAAAACACATCCCCCAAGAGCTGGTCGATTTTTTTGTCAGCAACGCCTGTCATGATGACCTCCCTACCACTCTTCACTGCGCACTCGTTTGCAGAGGGTTCTCCCTCCCTGCACGAAGGACCGCATTGCGAGAGGTGTACATAGACACCCACCCTTCCAACTGCACCAATCCTTCATGAGGTCTATGGGTATGGCACTGTGCCATGTCTGCCATCAGTTTCTTTTCGAAGGAAACCCAACGCCATCTGCAGGACATACCTCGAAAGCTTTCTATTCGTTCACATCAAGAAGACGACATCAACTTCATCATGAACATACAGGAAGTATTGAGGCTGTTGTCCAGAGTCGAAACGGTTAGGTTTCGAAACAGCCATATTACGGCCCTTACCCCGTCCTGCTGGGCTGTTCAGTTCGGAGGTTCGCTCCCTTTATTGGCACGACTGCTTCATGACGCCAGAAGCCATGTTCGGCCTCCTACAGGCATTCCCATTCACCCGGAGACTGGCACTGGTGGGTAGTTGTATGGAGGTGAACGGGGGTGGAGATGTGTTCCGTGCAGTCGATTCGGGAGAGATTGTGGATTTTCCGATCAGCACGTCAGGCATGCACGAGACGGTTCAACACTTCGAGGTATTGGTGGTGCATTTTTATGTGTTGCCGGATGACGACATAGTCATGTTGAGTCGGTGGCTATCGAGAGCTTCTAAGCTGACAGCATTATATGTGAAGGCAACAAATGACACGGATATTTTAGCAACACAGAAGCTGGTGAGCAACTGCACCGATACGTTGAAGAAGCTGAACATTCATATATATGGTAAGTGGTCTTTACTTCGTCAGATGCAAAACCCACCGACTCTTTTGTAACAGATGGCGGATTATGGTCTGTCTCATTAGATCTGAAAGCATGCCAGTGTCTGCAGAGCCTGAGCATATCCTGCACCGATTGTTATGGGCATATGCTGGTCGATATACTTGGAAGTGTCAAGCTTGCTGGGGCTGGTGCAGGCGCGAATCTGCTGCAGATAAATTTGTCTATCCATATGCGGACATGGATCTATCCAAATTATCACGAGCAGATCACAAAAATGTACAGAAGTTTGGCGGAGGGCATCCTTGGGATATCACGAACTGGGGATAATGCTCTTGTTAGAGTGTCGGTTATGCACAGGAGCGATTTGGACTGGACTAGAACCAAATTCAAGGACGAGACAGACTATAGGGACTGGATTAAATCAGATTGTTTCAAAGAAGCGGTGAAGGTAATGGGGGGGAGATTCATGGTGAAGGTAGCAAGCAAGTAGCACTTTGGCATGCTGCTGCTCTGTATGGACTTCAAGTTATTTATTTATTTATTTAACATCAGCTAAATAAAAATAGTTCTAATTGAATGTGTAAGAATGCTCAGGAATATATGTTTTCCAGCCTACTTCGCTGACAGGCTTCGTGGCCCTCTCCCACATACATGCCTCATGAATGTCCCAAAATAAGGTCAGCCACCCAGCATCCTTCCAGGTTCCCAAGCATGTATTCAAGAACTCCGCAACATCATCAAACAGCATCATTGAACCATGTATGCGACTTAGACCACCAAACCTAATGTATAATTTCAACGAGAATGCAACAGCAGATGCTAGAGCATCGATAGTTGAAAGCGCGACATGTAAATCAGAGGAGAAGAAGCCAGTTTTCCAATGTACGAAGACAATGCTGACATCCGTGCCCGCTCCACGGTTGGGAAGATTTTCAATGACAGCTGAAACAGACGGAAGTTGCTTTGGCCTGGCACATAAGCGAAGCTCTTGCAGACACTTGAGCTTTCTGACTTTCAAAAAGCCTATAGAAGGGGTAAGAGGTAGAGGTGCAGGAAAGCAAAAATATACCCTCACCGTTTGTTAGGGCAGTAAGGTCTAAATAAAGGACCTCGACAGCTGGTAATGCCATAATGGCATCGAAAATGGAGTAGGCATCTGCGGGGCCCACAGCAAGGTCAAGGCGACGAACATTCGAGAAATCGAAGAATGTCGTTCCCGACATGCCCACACGAAGTAACTTGGCCATGTCAGGAATCAGGTACAGCCTAATGTCTGTGGGTTGTATGGAGTCAGGTTGAATGGTATATGGGTCGGCTTCTATATCCTAATGTATGGGAGTTCGATAAGCTGATGTGTTATCTCAAATGATAAGGATAAGGAAAAGGAAAAGGAAACACGTACTGAGAAGATGTGAACAGGACCTGAAAATTCAATGATATCCACATCAAGCATCTTATATGCAGACAACCCAGTGAAGAGAGGATAGAGCTGGCGAAGCTCCTGATAGATGTCGGCAGCATCCTGTACATAGTCCAGGTCCTTGCGCCACCGTATATCTCGTATTTTTTGGCGATGCAACAGATCGACCAGAAACAGAGAGAATGAGCTGGTGACATGGCCTACGAATACCACCGTTTTCAAGTTAATCAAGAGGTGGAAGAAAGTGTTTGCCTCATGTTGAGCGGGAGGGGATGTGGACACGTCTATCATCAACCGGTGGATATGATGCGGCCAATCTAGATGACGTTTTGCGGTGAAACCATCTGCAAAGGCTGCATGCAGATATCGGGTTGCAAGACTTCGCTCGTCTCGCCGGCTGAACGCGAGTTCATAAAGGCGAGCTGGTTGAGCCCAGTCGAACCATTTCTTGCAGACTAGGGTGGATGGATAAATGTTTCGGTGCTCTTTTGATCTGACGATGAATTGGCTGGTAGAGGCGGGATGAATGTGGTCATGGTCTGTCAAGGATAAATGAACGATTGTTTGCATAATATTGACATTCGATGTGAGCCCTGATAAGATGTTAACAACGATATAAACAAGTACGAACAAGCCATACTATCAACAGCAGACCGAGAATAACCACGGAACATCGGCGGCCCTGGTGCTACTGAAGCACAGACGGATGGCAGCAAGATGGTTACTGCGTGAGAGCACATCCGTCTCTTGCCAGAGAGGCGTGCCTTTCCATCGAACGTGATATTTAACAAATGGGTTAGCTGTCGGAGTTGGAGTTTCAAAGTTCCTTGGTTAGCACCATCAATCAGTTTTCAGTTTTACTTACACACAATCAAAACGGAGACCGCCTCAGTGTATCACTAACGGTCGAACGTAAAGATACTAGTTGACAACGTCAATATCAAGCCCACTTTTGTCGAATCTAGCCTCAACTCCTGTTTAATCTGAGCGGCCCGCTCCCGAGCTTCCCTCCCATCGAGTCGAATCCGTGTCTGTTTCGCTTGCATTTTTTCCCATCATTTTCGATATTCAAAACTCTCTGAAGCAACTGGTAAGCTTCGTTTGCCGGCTGAACAGCACTACTTGAGTTGAAGCTCGATTCTAGGCACCCTTACATGCAGAGTGCAGACAGGCAGCTGTCATCGGATATCCAGGCCTTGAATATTCCATGTGAGTAAGACTAAATATCAGCAGCGCATAGAACACTAACGTGACTTTAGTGGCATGTCCCCCCCTCCTTCATGTGGCACAACTATTCGAGATAACATCGAACATCTGTTCTATTGTGTGTGCTCCGACACGTTGCCACCTGTTCCCAAAGTCGGCCATGGGTTTGAGGATCCCCAGGTGGTGTGGCCAGCCGATCCAGAGTACTTCATTGACCGGCATTGGGCTTCCAACACAATGCCATATCAAGGTTTTATACCTGTTAACCATAACTCGGTCTATCGATGCGAACTGTTTGACTCGTTAAACCATACACTTCAATCCATTCCTGTTTACTCTTCTGGTCCGGACATTTGGTCTGTAGATGGCAGTCTCGTAGAAAAATGGAGGAATCTTGAAACACTACTACAGCACTTGAAGCGGCTACTTGAAGACAAATTTCTGACGCATCAAAACTTAGGCCATACCAGCTTTCCTCTGCCCTGGAAGTACGGGTATCATCACACGAAACATAGTCGGACTGCAATGGCACATGCCGCTATAAGGTCGCGCGACGCGTTTATCATCATGGCGGCGGAGCTCTCCTACCTCTTGGCACTCGCATCCGCTCCGATGTCTACAGAAGATGATGAATTTCATGTGGTCGGCAGTGTTGACAGAACAGATAGGTGGAAACTGGGTCGATCTGATTCGGTCGTCGTGGTTGATGCAACGTGACATGGGCTATTGGGAGGGGGAGGAACATCAATCGCTCCGAGTCGGGTTATTTGTTGATGCGTGGACCTGTAACTTTGTTCACTCATTTCATGTGTACCAAAAGTGCCAGGTCCCTCTCTGGATCGACTGGGGGACTGCAGATGCACCGTACTGTGCTAGCCATGTTAGTTTGACAACGCACTACCATTTCCGGCTACCACCTTCGAAAACACAAACACGTTGCAGGGCTGAGCATCATCCACAGACGCGCACTTTTGAACTGATAGAGGGGAAGTGGCGTGATAGACTATCAGGAGAAAGGTTCGAACTCATGTGGAAAAAGAGGGATGGACTCGATACACTAGCACCAATAAAGGTGTCTAAAATGGAGAACGCAGACCGTACAGATAAAGACCGTTCGATTACGACTACAGAGCCATCTGGTTGTCAGTCTTCGACTGAACCATCTGATACAAACTCCCAACATCCAGGCAAGACATGGCAGATGTTCTTTGAACGTCAGGGATGCGAAACTGAACAGCTTATGAATGGCGAATCCATTCAGGACAAGCAACGTCGTAAGGCTCACGAGCTGCACGCGAAAAAACAGCTGTGCCCAAAAGCCGAATCAAAGGTGTTCTATTGGTGCACCGTGGAAGGCACAGCACACCTCTGTCGAAAACTAATTCCATACCGAGCCGTTCTGGACTTCTGGGACAATTACACTCCTTCACAGAGACGGTACTCTGCGTTCTGGAATGAATGGGATTTAAATTTCGAATTCGATTTATCCTCTAACCGAGATGATTTGCTATCAACCAGCCAGATAACCGTTGAACAAGAGGAAGGTGAAATATGTGGACCATCCGAAGGACCAGCAGCCTGACATGTACCGAGGATCCATCAAAGAATGGGAGCTCATGCACGAGAGGTTCTACGGTACAAGTGTCGAAGAACTCTGTCCTGAAATTACAAGCGGTTTGCTCCTTGGACGATACTCTTCAGGTTTCGCTTCAGGTATTAACACAATGGCTACATCCCCACAATATACGTCGCCAGTCATCATCCCCACCAGAAGATACATACACATCCATGGAAAGGCACAAGATTATGCAATTGTGTCGGGATGTGGGTTGCTCTGTCTTGCCATCGACAGCCTCTCACCCATCTACCCAAAACTGATACACTTCAGATATCAGAAGGCCTTCATTGGCTGTCTTCACTGGTTCTGGAAGAGAATACAAGAAAGACTCCCCCTTGTCCAATGCCCCCACAATGTTGGGACATGAGCTTCGGGTGCCTCTCACTACCTCTCATCAAGGAAGTAACCCTGATTTTACTGTGCACATTATCCAGTGGTATCGCAGTAACAAGGTGGGATATGAGATCAGGCCAGTCTCATCCAAACGGTCGCCTTACAGGCTTATCGTCTATCGTGCCACGGACGTGTTACATTGTTTGCATATCCTGGAACGCTTCCTGCCTGGACGATTTTGCTGGAAGAGATGTGTCACTATGGTGCACAATTCAGCATGTGCGTGGATGATGAAGCGGTTGGTCCATGTCGCGTACATGTCCAAGATGCCATCCTATATCGACCTGTAGGATTTAAACCGGACCTATACGATTTTGCAGTATTACATGCGGAAGCGGCGCAGCACTGCTCGAAGATCTGGCAGTAGCGAGGGCTGGCATTGATGCGAGGGGGCTTAATTTGGCGCATTGCAATGGAGCACATATCTGATCCTGAGTTCATTTTATCTGGGCCAGGGAATGATATGTGCTGTTATGGAAGATGCCATGACTTACAGACCAAGTGCAAGTCCAGGTATCATTTATGGGAGGAGGCGCTGTCAGAGAAACAGATGGACCTTTTATGCGGGGTGTATAGAGTTTATCGTGATGCATCAGGATCGACTTCGTTTACTCAGGATCTGTCCTGGTTTCCCAGAGAGCGCAGTTTCAGAAATTCAGGCTTGGATCTCGGACACTGGAGTGCAGATGCAGAAGATTGGTATCAGCGTCGAGTTCAATTGTACCTAAGCGGAGACTCCAAAGGCCGATGCTTGAATCAGGCGGAATGGAAAAGGAGCATTCGTTTGTGGCGAAGCACGATCAGGACATACAAAGGGATGGAACAGGTATCTAGAGGTCTCATCAAACGCCACATTGCATCCCCTATAGATTAGCAGAGCATTTATTATATTCTACTCCTTAAACATTCAATAATGTACATCACTATGCATACAATTTTTACGAAGTATTCACGACCTGAGAACTCGAAAATAAACTTTTTCTGAACCACATGTATGGAATTTCGGAAATGTATCTTCCTTGAAACTATCCCTATCCACATCTCCAATGGCATGTGCACGTTGTAGCACTGCAAACAGTCATACCAACAAATATATCCCGGTTTATACTACTGACACAGAGATTCATCTAGCTTTTCCAAGGTCCCAGTAGGAACAGACGAAACAACGACGAAATATTGCGTCGAAGCCGAATATCGGTCAAGGTTGGACTGAGTCAATGTATCTATTGAACGATGCAGGAACTGCAAGGCAGACATTGCACCAGAGAAGGAAAGGTTGGTTAAATGATTAAGGCCTTCGAAACTGAGCTCTGCTTCAGTGGACAGTTGTGACTTTGTATCTAGACACTGTTCACATAAGGTAAGATAATACTGATGAGCATCACTAGAGATGGGATGCTTACTGACAAAAACCTAGTTTCAGAGACTGGAGCATTGTTGCAGGAATCCAGTATCATACGAACATACTTTAAGTCACTTGGATAATAGACAGACACTTTCAAAACATGGACCTGTGCAAAGCATGCTGACTCTATCCAGTCGTAAGTGAGTGGATCCTGGCTGATGATTATTCTTGATAGCAGTCAAATGTACTTCACGAATGGTTGCAAACATATGGATGGGCAAAGCATCCGTGCGTACGTATGCTACCCGAAGCTCTAGCTTTTGTAAGATCGCTAATACTGTACAAGAGGCACATTGAATATCAGCAGACTAAGACTAACACTGGGTATGACACTCACCTGGTGATAATATACTGAAGGTCCCTTTAGACAGCAGTGCATCACTTAAAAACCAATTCTTCAACCAAGAGGAGCGAAGCCACCACTCGGTGCAAACATGTCATTGAGGTGTGATCAATAGAGGTGAGGCCTGTAAATGTGAACCTTCTCAATCGAGGAAGGTGATCCAGAAGACGGACAAGAAGAAAGGTATTACGATCATCAAGTGAAATGCCATGGAAGGTAACAGCGCGGATATGATATAGAACATTTGGGAGTTGGTGGAGCTTGTGAGCTGCTATGTCAATGAGGAGTGCTGTTTGAGGTATAAAGTTTCTGTGACTTCCCGCAATGTCTACGACACCAAAAAGATATTCACGAGCTTGCCAGAGAAATGACTTGTCCACCAGGGCACAGTTATGTGCATCTACCACATTGTTGCAAGTGTAAGCAATTATTTTATTCTTTACTTCTTGTGGTGTCCTATCCATGAAAGTACACAACGGATGGAATATGGTGGATGCAGCCTGTGCAGGCCGTTTTTGTTCGATGCTTAAAAGTAATATTGTGGTAACTGCCACGGAATTTGCCGTATCAGTTTATGGATCCGTCATCATTTTCATTTTCAAATACTAACTACTCATCCACTTACCATCACCACCATCACTCCTACGCTGCGTTCTCCATCTTTAACACCCACTTCTCATCTCTAGCACTCACCTCTATGCTCATGCTCATGCCATACCATACCAACTCGCTCGCCCACATCCACATGCCGACATACATCGCCTTGCTGCAAGTCGGTAACTGGCTACAATCCGATGCAACTGGGGCAACTGACTCTCGCTGGAACACCAACAGCTGGGCGATATTTGCATGGCTTACCTTTGCTTATTTCTATGAAGATCCATTTGTACATTGTTGAGAGAATATATATTCATTCTGCTCACATGTGCACCGCCGATTTTCGACTGCAGATGGCAGCAATGCCAAGTGGCAAGCGACGCCCATACCTTGGACTGCGTACTTCTGACCAAAAGCAGAGAATCTAGCCAACAGAAGGACATTATACTGAGCTGGCCGCTGACGCTCCATACTAATCTGAAGAGTCTTGATCTACGGCACTTGCCTGCTGTGCCACTCCAGGTATCACTGCCAACAAAGGATGGTGATGTGATACATATTGATACCGATGGTTTCAAGAGAGAAATGCCACTATTCGCTAATTAGAATTACGGTAATGGAAACGTTCTCATGCATGGTCGGATAATCGGAAACGAGCCATTCTCATGCCTGCTTGTCAGTGGGAATATGCGGCTTATATTCGAAGCATGGACCGATAGCTTTCCTGTATGGAGTATTGCAAACACACCCTGAGAGGTTACTTTCTATCCCAAAGATAATGGTCCCTCATGGACTGAACAGAGCATCATGAGCGACACCAATCCCCCACCCTTGACTCTCCACTGGTGCAGGCGAGATACAGAAGGTGATGGACTCAATACCTGTTGCCAGGTTATTGACAAATGTGACAACGATTATACTTCGTGATACCGTCGTTCTCGAACCTGTCAATATCTGTTCAACCATCAAGGAAATGGTATTCGTCAATTGCGTTATTGGACAATATGCATTCTTAAGTATGCTCCCAAAGAATGGGTCGGTCGTGTTGGGAGGGGGGTGCAATCGGCTGAAGGAGACGCAATCCATCTGTAGGACAGGTAACAAGGTTCCAGTTGCAGGCAGTTGTCTGTAGACATCGGGAGCATGTCGGGCGACGACATATGTACCATGTTGCAAGCCTTTTCCTTTATCGAAGGCGTTCACAAACTGGAGTTGCATGGTGAACTGGATCAGGACGCGGGGTTAATACAACAGATGTTGAACCAGTTTGCTTCTACACTGAGGGAGGTGATGATAGAGCAGAAAGGTGTCGTCAGTTTCAAAACCCCAATCCCAGTATCATATTCAAACAGATGGGGTTAGCGTTCACAGGTTCTTTATGGACATCCACAGGTCCTTTATTTGAACAGCTGCACTGTCAGTTGGAGAATATTTGCATCACCTGCCTGGACAGTGAGCTGAAATCGCTCACAGCATCCATCTCCACCATTACCCCTCATCAACTCCGAAGGCTCGACATAAGAATACGGATCAAGGCACTTGCAGAAGACGACCTGTGAAAGACACGGCAACACCCTTCGCCGCTTATCCCAGGTCATATACAGCCGCACCGATCACCTTTTATTCCAGTGGTTGGACGTTCAACTGGGTTACTCAATGATGCAGGCACATGGAGACCGGATGGCTGTGCAGAGGTTCGTATGTACTTGTTTCCAAAAGATACAGGGCCTACCGCACTTGAAGTATTCTGGTATAAATTGGAAGAGATTCTAGAGAGGAGATATAGTACTAGTTAAAGAGATGTTGAGATACCAGTAAAAAGATGATAACAAACAGTGCTAAATGTTTTGAATAACGTGCTTGTAGACGCTGCATTCTCATTCTCACACCTGTCGGCTTATGCCGCCTGCCCTAACTAGTAGCCCTGCAGACTTCCGTGCCCAGCCCCTGCCTGCCGTACACACACTAAACGGGCTCTTACTCTATTAACTTAATCAATAATTTTCCGGTTATTATTTCTTTATTTTGTCCGTCGTGTCCCCTGCATTATATTCACGTTTCAAGAGCACTTTCTCTAGTGACACAAAATCTATAGGAAACAGTCGTTCTCCAGATGAATATTTCATTGGACAGGTGGGAATACACTTCTTGGTCATTGGCTCGATTTCAAATGGTTCCACAGCCAGGATACGTCCCCGGTTTACTTGATGGGCAACTCTACGAGCAACTCCACAAGCAATTCGGCCTCTCCGAGGTACGTTGCAGTGCACTACATGTAACATGTCAACTTCTATTAATGACACGTGTCGGTGGCAGCATGCAGTCCAATATGGAGATCATGGTCAACGAGTATCACACCGCCACTGCGTACGCACCGCCGCCATTCGAGGATGTCCTCTACAGGCAACCAGAGGCCTCTGTCGACGAACCGGTCCCAGGAATGGTCCTTAGCATACCCAACATACCCGTCATCAATTCAGCATACAACAATGTCGAACCCACCACCAATTATATCGACCCCACCACCACTTACATCGACCCCACCACCACTTACATCGATCCCATTTACACCAACGATGCACCCGCTTCCCTGACGTATACCAACACCAACACCAACGCTCGTGCGTATGAATCGGCAGGGCATGAAGAAAGATCGGAAGGGAAAGCGTCGGAAACCTTTGTTGCTGAGGAAGGTGTCATTGTTGAGGAAGTGTTCTTTGATGCCAACAGAACAACTGGTAAGTACCTATACAGTCGACTCTCTTCTAGTACGACATTGCTGATATATATGTAACAGCTAGCGGTGCACCTGCAGTGGCAGACGCACGACCGTGTGTGAAAAAAACTATCACCAGAGATCTGGGCACCACTTTGATTGGTATTATATCTCTTGCTGCTAGTCATACCTCAGACGGTGCCGTCGACATGATGATCTTGATGGTCCAGGCTGCATCTGTATGTCTTTTTCCCTGTTTTCCACAGGATAGCTGATACTGTTCATCCAGGACCACTACATTCTCTGGGAGAAGGAATGTTTAAGAGACGCCTTTATGGCGATAAAAAGACTAGCTTATCTTGCATTATGGTATCCTGTCCAGGATCTACAAATATGGCGCGTGACGCGCTCTCTTGCCAACGGACAGGCCACTTACCAACAAACTGCTACTTGCATATCCCATGCTCAACAATCACTGCTTGAAGCCACGCATGCAGTTGTGTTGACAGTAGAACCATTATCTGGCTCTAATCGCGGGTATTATTCCGCGGTGGTTCTAGCATGGGTCTTAGTTGAATGGTCTCGTCGGAATGGCGTTGGCAAACGCAAGAACAACAAGGTGGCCATAAAAAATCTAGCCTACCAGTTGGTAGACTCAACAAATTCAAGCTCGTTGACAATCGTGTTACTTGTCGCTGCAAAGGAACATAGCTTATCGTCATTCTTCAAGGACCCCACCCTCAAGGTCCATATTGAAAACCATTTAATGGATGGAAATGTCAAGCTTGCACCGGACCATATCCACCGGGCCATTGCAATCGGGATGTGAGTTGTAATCATTTGCACTTCTGTATATCTCATGCTCAAACTGTTCTTAGGGCCCTGCTTGGGACAACCAACCCAGACTGTTAGCACCATCATCGGAAATAGCCAGTCGACCTGAAATTTGAAAATGATCGGATATATTTTCAGATAAATATTTCGGAAATGAGCAGGGGTGCTTCCCTATCCAAAAGTATATAAACCAAGCGTCTTGTTCTCTTTTCTTACCGATTCACATAGCTGCTGTCTCACCCTGAGTGGCTTTACCATTTTATTCCGTTGTCTTTTACTATTCCTTACCATCTCGTGTCTTCTCATCTCTTCATCATCTCTCGTCTTGGTTATCTCTTATCTCAGTTACATGTTACAGCTACATTAATACAGTGTTATCCAGCGTTTTCTTGTTTCTCGTCATGCCACCAACAGCTGTATCCACGTCCATTTTCCATGACGGTACGCTAATCGAAACCGAACTATGTTTCTTTACTGTCCCCCAAATTGTTGAACTAGTCGAGGAATTCGTTCTAGTTGGTCGTGAGGAAAAACGTTCGCGATCCAGGTTACTGCAGTACATCAGTAATATTTCTGCAGAAACACAAACCCGAATCAGGCACCATGCAGCGGAACGTTCGGCAAGGGGAAAGAAACGAAAAGCTACTGAAGACAAGGGAGCAGAGAAGCATGGTGGGAAGAAACCTCGAGGCAGGACCGTCTTATCATCCGGCAATACCACTTTCCATTCGGTATCATCTACTACTGTGGATAGCACGGGTGCATTACTGGGTAGCACTGAAGCGCAGGTGGAGGGACGTGAGGAGGAAGTAGGAGTCGATGAACTTATAAATGGGCCGTTTCTACAGAATGTCAGCCAGGAAACGAGGGAGAGATGCATCAAAGGGTATATACAAAGGACTTCGAATTCGGAACTTACACAGTGCGTGTGCATGGTTTGTGCAAGATTGCTCTTTGCTTCCAGGATGACTGGACTTCATATTGATGAGCTTCCCAACACCCATCTTCTGAAACCGTCACATCCTCATACAGAACATGTTCTATATATGGGATCTTTACTACATAATCAGGCGATAGATAGTAAAGGCTTGGGTCATGCGTGTAATGAATGTCTGCATCATTTAGGATCAGGACAAGTTCCACCTCTCTCATTAGCAAACAATATGTGGATAGGCCAAGTCCCTTTGGAATTATCTATATTATCATTGGCCGAACGTGTATTGATTGCTAGACATCTTCCATGTACCTATCTGGTGAAGCTTTATCCAAAAGCAGAGCACGCTGAACATTGGTTAGACAGTGACGCGGTGTATATGGGCCTAAAAGGCAATATATCCACTCACCCATTGAATACAAGCCATGTTGCTGGTCTCGTCTCTGCTAATATTCTACCACCACGTGCCCAGGTACTCTCCGCTGTTATTGGGATCACGTTTATTGGTCCTAGAGGAGTAAGAATGAGAGAGTTGCCTAAACTCTTTCATGTGAGGAGAGGACGTGTTCGCAAGGCTCTCCAGTGGTTAAAAAAAAACAACCCATTATACCAAGATATCATCATTTCCGACGACAATCTATCTGAGCTTCCTTCAGATGGAGTACCTGACGAAATTATGTCTACAGTTCGAACTTCTCATGATACTGTCGGCCTCGCTATGGAACAGGATACCTATGTCCCAGACCAGGACGGATGGGATTCTATTGGTGGGTTTTTTTGTTTCAGTGCTTTGCGAGTTTTCAAGAGCTGAATAATCGTGGTGTGTAACAGCATACAACCCTGATACCATCAGAGTGGAGGGAGGAGAAGCAAGACCAGATCCTTTCACTGAACCCGGTATGAGACCCTTTCGAACATTGTCATAATAATAATAATAATAATAATAATCACGCTAGATGTTCTTCTGCTTCACTCGAATGGGATGATAGATGCCAGTGGGGATAATATTACTGACACTGATATCATGGCCCACGCGTTAGCCAATCTCGGTAATGAGGAGACTATGGCTAAGCTCCGACCTGAGGACAAATATTTCATCAGGCAAGGAAGCGCATTCATCAACGAATATGCTAGGATTGACAAGGAAACAGGAGAACGGACGGACGGTGGGCCTGGAAATGAAAACCATATATTGGGGGCATTCCCTTGGTTATTTCCATATGGGCTTGGGGGATTTGAAGTCGACAGATTGCAGAATGTACCATACGAGGTGCACTCTAGATGGGCGCTGCAGTACAGCGACCGAAGGTTTCGCAAGGATTACCATTTTGTGTTCCAGATATATGGTGTCATGCACAAATGTAAAATCTGCCGCTCCGCATCTCTGCAAATCAAATGTTCAAGTTTCCATTACCATCGAGCATTAATCATGAACCTTACACCAGACATATTAAAGAAGGCAAGCGAGGAAGAGATGCGTCGAGTGCCCTTTTCACATCCTGGAGTGCGAGCTCTCCGTAGACAGTTATCGGCCGTGAGAGCACGTGTTCCTGGGACAGATGAATCTCGGAAAAGTTTAAGGTCAAAAATTTGGAGTACAAACCTAGCATTCAACCCTCCTAGCTTATGGATTACCATTAATCCATCAGACACGCATGATCCTATTGCACAGGTTCTAGCAGGTGCAAACATAGATCTTGACCATTTCATCGACACGGCAGGTCCACTAGCCAAGGACCGGGGTAGGAACATGGCATCTGATCCTTTTGCTGCTACAGAATATTTTCACTTGATTATCACAGTCATCTTGGAAGAATTATTTGGCATCAAGGCAGCGACAACAGGTGCATTTGTGTCGAGGAAGGATGGTATTTTTGGAAAGGTTAATGCTTATGTCGGAGCCGTAGAGTCTCAAGGCAGAGGAACCCTTCATCTTCACATATTACTGTGGTTGAGAGGTTCCCCGTCTTCAAAGGACATGACTACAGCTTTGTTATCCGATACTTTCAGAGAAAAAATGAAGGAATTTATCAGGGCGAATATTACTGCAGACTTAGATGGTGCTTCCATGGAAGAAATCGATAAAATGGTACCACAAACAGCGGTGTCATATGCAAGGCCAATGCATCCATTAGAGCCTGACTATAAAGTGCGTAGACTGGCATCATTAAAGTCGGTGGCGCGGACCATACAGTATCATAAATGCAAGGTGGGTGTATGCATAGTAAAGAAGAACAAGGAAGGGAGACCCGTATGCAAGAGGAGAGCGCCATTTCCGATGTCGTCAGATGCATGGGTCTTACCTACTGGTGAATGGGGACCAAAATGGCTGTCGGCTAATATGGTAGCGTGGTGCCCTGATTTGATGGACTGTATCAAGAGTAACCAGGATATCAAACTGATCACTAATGCTGTCGATACAAAGGATATCACTTGGTACATAACCAATTATGCGACCAAAAAACAGATGCTTACCTGGAACACGTCCGCAACACTGGCACGCACTTTAGCATTTGAGATGGAGATAGACCAAAAGGTGATGGAATGCCATGACTTAGGGAAAAAGCTAGTTCAGAAATTCGCTCATGCACTAAATAAAGAGCAGGAGTTCAGTGTTTGCGAGGCGATATCTCACGTTATGGGATGGGGAGATCGGTTTCTTTCTCATCATTATGTTACTGTATACTGGAGTGCCGTCACAGCGGCTATCCAAGATGCTTACCCTCAACTCAGGGAAAAAAGGTAAGAGAGAATGTTTCTAGTCCTAATAGATGTATAACTGATGCATGCCTGATGCGTGCTCTAGATCACATACAGAAGAGACCATTCATGATAATTCTGCGACCGCCAGTGCCAGTGTACAAGATCAAAGCGAAGAAGAAGTAGCATTGCCTGTTGAACTAGTTGGAGGGGAGATGAAACTGAAAGATCAGCTGCGAGAATATTCAGACAGAGGAGAGCAATTAGAGGGCATGTCATTCATGGACTTTTTCAGTGAGACGTATGATGGAGAGCCTTCAAAAAGCAAGACAGGTGCCTGGAGGAGTTCGCATGTAAATTACAAAGAAGGAACAGGACACGGAAAAAGATGCAGAGTCATAAGACATACTGGTCACGAAACCATAGTACAATTCATTGGAGTGTGGTTCCCGAGAAGAGATAGACCAGATCAGCACGAATACTACTGTGCCTCGATGCTGGCACTGTTGCAGCCTTGGAGGTCAATGAAGGATCTTAAAGCAGAAGGAGAGTCCTTTCAAGCTGCCTGGACACGATTCTCTATTGGTCTAACGAAACTACAACAGGATGTCTTAGACAATATACAATATTATCATGAGGCTTTGGATCAAGCGCACAAGAAGAATACCAGTATACTGAGTGGGGCACTGCTCAACATAGAAGAGCAGGATGTCGAGGAGATGCACAGAGATAGTAGAGACAGAAGTGATACAGACCATCACCCGGATTTCACCGAGGAGGATATAAGGGCAGCCGAGAACTTATGCCATCCATTTAGAGAGATACAATTTGGGTTGGATGCCATGGACAAAGCGGAAGACTCTTCTATATTTGCTAGGCCTCAAGTACACACAGCTATAGCTGGCATTGCCACGACAGCTGATGCAGAAGACGTTCTACGCTTTTGGGAGTGGAATAGGCTTCTAAAGTCAATCACTCGAAGTAAAGATAAAGAAAGGGGTCATGGAATCGAGGACAGAAGCAGCAAATTGATGAACAATTTTGACATATCAAATAATGAAGTTGAACCGGGTGGAGGAATGAATTTGCCATGCAAGCAACCAAAGGACAGACCACTGCTTGGGTTGCTAAATAAGGAGCAGAGATGAGCACATGATATCATAGAGAGTCACCTTAAAGCACATCTAGCAGGACGAAGTCCTAAACCATTATACATGATGGTGCAAGGCCAGGGAGGTACAGGAAAGACGGTATTGATCAATGCCATTTCAGAGACATTCGAATACCACAATGCAGAGGAAATACTCGCTAAGATGGCCACGTCTGGAGTGGCTGCAAGTCTCATTGGTGGCCAGACTCTTCATTCTTTCGGAGCGATACCCATTAATCCTGGAAAGAAAGATGACTGGTATTCTAAAGGAAGTAAAGATACCATGCAAAAGAGACAGAGAAACATCGCAGGAAAGGAGTACCTCGAGATAGATGAATGCTCAATGATGACAAAAGACTTGCTGGCGCTGGTGTCTGAAGTGCTGTCAAAAGAAAAGTCTCGCCAGGGAGGACACTGGGAGCAGCCGTTTGGAGGAATGAGTGTAATATTGTATGGAGACTTTCACCAGTTTCCGCCTGTAGGAAATCCATCAGCTGCCTTATATGATTCTCGTTCCAAAGGAGAGCGTTCCGAAATCGGTAGAGCCTTGTATCAATTATTCACAAACATAATAATACTCACGAAGCAAAACCGAGTTCAAGATGAGGGATGGAATGCGCTCCTGAATCGCCTTCGGGTTGGAGAGTGTACAGCCAACGATCTGCGAGAGCTAGATAAACTTGTTATTAACAAGGATGAGAGGCTGGACTTTTCTACAGCACCATGGAAAGACGCCATCCTTGTCACATCACGTCATGGTCTGAGAGATCAGTGGAATCATGAGGCTATCCGCCGACACTGTTATCTTTCAGGGCAGCGATTATATACCTGTTGTGCTGAAGATGCTGCAGGTAGAAACAGGGTAGAACTCACAATGGAAGAGAAGGTGATTGTTGCAGGCATGCGAACAAAGAAAACTGCGCGTCTTGAAGACAAAGTACAGATAGCTATAGGTATGCGAGCTATGGTATTGATGAACATCGCCACCGAAGCTGATGTCATGAACGGCACAAGGGGAGTAATACAAGACATAGTGTTGGATAGCCGAGAAATACTTCCTGATAATCCTGGTTGTCAGATGGAAACAGTGTTGAAATATCCACCTGCCATCATTATATTCAAACCAGACAATCCATCAGAGGAATACAGTTTCCCAGGTCTAGATAAAGGATTAATTCCAATCGTAGCCAATGAAGGGAGTTTCACCATCCAGACCATTGATGGATCCACCAGACGGATTCATAGGCGCCAGCTGGCTATTACTGCTGGCTACGCTTTTACACATCACAAGTGCCAGGGTCAAACAATAGAGTATGTAATAGTAGATCTAGGAAAACCACCTAGTGGAACCTTGGATCCGTTTAACATGTACGTTGCCTTGTCCAGGAGCCACGGCCGCAAGACAATATGGCTATTGAGAAGAGGAGAAGATATCCTCTATACGGTGCATCCATCTTTCAATGAACTAAAAAAAGAAGATGAAAGGCTTCGCATTTTGTCTGAGATCACCACCAGAAACTATGAAGACAACCTATACCGGTGGTAGATAATCAAGGAAAACAGACATGATACATGTAGAAAGGACAGTAAATATTATACAACTGATACAACTTCAAGAATAGCAATACTTCGTAGTTAGAAGAACGCATAATGTAATACTTAGCAGAAAAACGCGGTTATATGCACACGGACCGGTACCCGGACCAAGCAGTGGTTCTCACCGATCTTAGATCCAAACAGACTATAGTAAGTGCACTATTTGAAAAATATAGATAAATTCAGGGGTTTACAAACAAGAGCTATACAGCTGCTTGTATAACAAGTATAATTTCCACAAAATGTCTACGACATCCCCGACCCACCAAAATAGCCTAAGCTGCGGGCAAACGTATTACACCAGAGTCCAAACCAAGAAAGGAAACCGTCATTATTATTGTCTCCAATTTCCCATTTTACATTCAGGTTTGTTCTGTTCGTTCATTGGTTGTAGGCAGTGACAGAAATACCAGGAGATAAAGAGACGAACCTTCCGCATGGAGAATGGGATGCACTTCCTATGTTGGTTTTGAGCGAGGACAAGAAACTGGAAGGGTAGCGGTGGTAATCATGGTTATCATATTATATCTGGGCGTTTAACTACCATACTGCCCACACTGCCCCCTACCTTCACCATTCTTCTTCCATCGTCTATCTCGTGTCTCTCTCTAAGTGTTGCTAGGTGTCGTGTGTCTCTCGTCTCGTCTCTCTCTGTATCTGTAGGCGTTCTCTGTCTAGGTGTTTGCGTCTCTCCTGTCGCTTCTGTAGGGTATAGGCGTCCTTTCTCCATAGATTCGTAGCGTCTGGGGGCGGGTCCTTGGATTCGTAGTCTGTTCCACCAATCCTTCATAGCGACCGATAATGATCCCTGATGAATTGATTGACCGATCGACCGACTGAGGGGAGGTGATAGCAGGGAATATTGGGTGAGTGGGTGAGTGAATATCGGTCATGTTGATGGTGCAGAAGCAGATTGTCCTAGGCGTCCAGATCATGTTTGTATACCTGATTCTTGAAGCCAAACTCGAAATTGCGAGTGCCGCATATATGGGAAGGGGGTAAATTTGGTTTGGGAGTGGCGAGTAATCAGAATGCGTTCATGGCTTATGGGTCCTTGGCACATGCAAAGAGATTGTGACACTACCCAGAAGCCAGGAAGTGGAAGCCGCCAAACAACATCATGGGTATCAGGGTCTGGGCAACTACACCTGAACATCAGAAGAGGAAATGGAAACCAGAAGCCTAAATGGCTGCGTACCTATTAAGTCAGGCAAACCATTTGTGGATACTGTCAACGAAAAAATCCAGGGAATCCCACAGGAAAAATCACTAAGAAGGAAGAACGGATAATTCCGGCGATAAAACCTTGAAAAGATGGAGTGTCCCAGTAGCAGTAGCACGCTATTTTACAGTCAGAACACGAACTCAGGACAGCAAACTCACCACACTTCCAATGGCGAAAGGTAGTAACAAGGTAAGAGAACCTCACCGACTTTGGGTGATTTCATAATAACTTAACATTTGTTCCTGATACAGTCCGCACAGTTATCGCCTCCCTCTCATAGATCCACTCGGCTAGCTTTGTTAGCTCTGAAAAAAGAAACTAAGAAGGGATCATTCCTGGACCATCTGCTGCGTTCATCCAGAATGCCATCCGTCATACAAAACCGATCGACAGCTGCGATAACTGCTGATGCCGAACTAGCAGCACAAGGTGCACAAGGTATAAAAGTCGCCTTTTCATTTTAACCAGCTTTACCAAGTCAATGAATTGAATAGATGGGATGCCGCACATCAATCCTCCCTACATCAGAAGAAAATCCGCACGTATCAGTACCGGCAGTATCAGGGCAAAGGTCAGGACGGTTGTTTTGCGCCCTTTTACAGTCATTAGACTCAGAACCTTCAGATGTTACACGTCACTCCACCAGACGTGACTCAGCAAGCAAGTGACTCAGCAAGCGAACAAGCGAACCATGGCAAGGAAGTAACCAGGAGTGAGGGTACCAGAAGCAGAGACGATACACAATACACGACGGATCAACAGGTCAACAAGGAGAAGAGAGGTCCAGAGAACATGGAGAAGAACGGAGGGTACAGAATCTGATCGTAGCACCAGAATTAGATTAGAATCACAGAAATCGTGGGCATTTATTATTTTTAAAAACGGATGTCAGCACCAGTCGATAGTCCAGTAGTCAGTAGTCCAGTAGCCAGTTAGCTACTCATTCACAGGAGCGTATTCACCGATGAAAACCAATTCTTAAGCAATTTATCAACCGTCTAGTTTCAGCTGGCCAGCTGGCGAGGAACGGCTTCTTTAAGCTAGCTAGCATTGCAGGTGCCATAGAGTCAAGATGGTATTCAAGGCCAAGTAATACGAGACTAGACGGAACAGACGGTAATATGGTAATATGAGATGCAGCAGCATCGCAGCCAAGTAATATGAGTCGAGATGGTATTCACAGGCCGAATAATACAAGTCAAGATGGTAAACGGCCCTAGTGCTGAGTCTTGACAAGCTGCAAAGCAATGTTGTACTTGTTTGGTTTTGGCAGATGTGCAAGCAGAAGAGGGGAAGAGGATTGCTGGATTGAGCACAGCCACATATTTGTACTTAGTTGCTTATGGCAGATGACGGAAAAGGAAATTCTATAACTGTGGGTTGACCTTGCTTTTCAGCAAGGTAACTGCTCCCATCACTCTCTCCAATTACGCATGGCCTTCATTCAGCCAAGTCTTTGCTCTACCGATGCATCCCTCTGCGAAGTGTTGGGCCAGGTGGATGGAAACCCGAGCATCCTGCCGCCGTAGTGGGGTTTGAAGTTGACATGTTGACGAATGGAAGAAAAAGGAGCTGACGGGCTGGATGAATCCGAAAGCCGCGTGCCTCCAAAACTGGAAATCACCGCCAAAGCCTAGATGCATGTTGAAGAGCTGATTTAGACGACCAACGCGACAAAGGCTAAAGTGGTACTATATAGAAGTATGCATGTAGTGTATAAGAAATAAAAAATTAGACGAGGCGAAGCAGGATAATCAAAAAGAATACAACGACAAAAGACAGACAGTCCATACTAAGTCTGATCTGAACCCCGACCTTCAGTTGTTCATCATTCCGAGTCCTATGTATATAGGATTCTCGGTCATTATGCAGGTGGAATTGGCCATGGGAAAATCTATTCAAGGTATCAAACCTTAACGGACTTTGCCATAAAGTGTCACATGATTACTTATCCAGGTGTACCCGGACCCATTTTGGAAGGACCCACAGTATCAAGAGCACACCTGTCACCCCCACCTCCACCCGGGTGCTGCAGGTACGGGTACCGGTTCTTACACAAGTACAGATTCTATAATGTCGATTATAAGATTAGTATACATTCTCATGGTATAATATCATACATTGAAGTCCACCACATGTCTTGGAATGACAAGGAGAGAATATAATGAAGTCTTCATGAAGAGCAAAAGAAAAAAGTTCAAAGAGTGAGAGATGTCGTATGATACACCTCCTACACTTAAAAACTCGCCAATTTTGGTATCCTTCAAATTCGCTGGCACATTATGCCCCAGAGAGGAGGACCACACTCTCAATATGGGGTGAATAGTGCAGCCACAGGAGAGCAAGGATGTTGTTGAGGTGACACAGCCATTTATTCGTTGACTACGCTACAAGAGCTGTACAATACGGTGATGGCCACGATCGAAAGCTTGAAAGTACCAAATATCGACAATGCTGCTACTTGCCCTGAACTTGGAAATGAGCACATTAACCTCAAGTATCCTGCAGCACAACATTCACGCACCTGGCAATTATCTTCTAATGCCTTGCTAGCTAGCACAGATCCCCCATCCACACATAGGCCTGTGGATCCACCTGATGCTCTGCCTGGAAATTTGTGCACCACATCATACAACGCTCCTTCATCCACTCAAAAATCTGAAACCCAAAGTTCCAGTGTGCATGTTGAAGGTTGGGATTGGTCTTTCGAGTCCAATGGTGAGACGTTCGAAGGTCTGCAATTGCAGCAGAGCTATGGAAAGAGCAGACGTTGCAACGCGCAAGCTGCAGACTTGAGATGGTGGGAGGAAACAGGTTGACCCTCAACCATCACAGTGTCTAATACGGCTCACCCTTGCTGCCTTCCAGGATGATTCCTCCACCGAAGATGAAGAATTACACCTGCTGGTCATGCTGGTATGTATCTGATTCGTGCTGACAAGATTCTGCTCACCGTGCTGCAGTGTCATCCAATTCTTCAGAAGAGGAAACTTAGGTATCAACCGTCGATGAATGGGTTACACAATGCCGTGGACAACAATACTGTGGGAATTTTCAGCAGCCCTGGCTGAGCTCATGATGCCCTATGGCTGGAACCAGTAGCGTCGACTTTGGTGACGCTGCAATACCAGGCAACAAGACGATCGAAATGGAGAAAACACACCCCTTTGATGGCAGAAATGTCATCTATGTCCACTACCCATACTTCTATGGTACCTCACTCTTAATACACGCAATAGAGAGAAACTGTTGAAGTCGCAGACATGACCACCAATGGCTTCGAATTGACAAACCAGCTATCATCTGGCACCACTGGTGTTCTTCCAGCTTCAAGCTTGACCGGGAGGAAGCTGTCTAGAATTCTTGTAGAGTTGGAACCCCAGATGTGACTAGTGTAATTCCCAAATATGGTAACACCCAACAAATTTGCTAGTGACCTTGATGTCACCGAGAAGAATGCCTTCGACATGCATACCGACTGCCATCCTAGCACACGATGTCGCTGGAATCTGACAATACTCTCACCATCTCATGAGCACCATTTCACTAGCAGGTCACTTGGACCTGTCGGTCACAGGATTGCTACCATAGATCTCCACTGCTGCTTGCTTCCTTCACTTGCGGACATCCTCTTCATTCTCAAGATGAGCGTACCACGCAGCTGGATTTGGATACAGGATGAGAGGGAGAGCTTTGATAGGAGGTGGATGTGTTTCTGCCGGCATATTGGTCAGGAGGGTTGGAGGCAAGAGGGTTTGGGTCAGGGTGGGTAGACCTTGAGCGCAACCCTTCCACCCTCCAAACAGACGACTACCCTCCCCAGCCACACTGCCGCATGCCTCTCAAGTCAAATCCCTTGTGTCGATTTCTGAATACCCAGGAAGAGAGGGATAAGCTGAGGAGGATTGGGGCCAGGGCTCTCAGACCTGGGATGGTGTATGTGAGTCTGAATGCCTGGGGCTGGAATGGTCAGTGGAAAGACCGACGGCTCTACTGAACATGGATATAGTTCAGCTCCCTTGTCCAAAGAGTCAGGTCCACATCCCCTTCAGATGCAAGCACTCGATGACATGGTGAGGGGCTTGTTGGCTGTTGGAATCGACACTGCATTGTGCAAGACTGACAGTGCGAGGTTGGTTTCTTGTCTCTCTAGTCGTGTAAGGCTGCACACCATACTCTTTCCTTCCCATCCACCTATGTCCCATGCTCATTCCACTGATCCCTCCGTGCTCTACTCCCTCTGTCTCCGCCTCCCTTCATCTTGCAAGCTATATTGGTATGGCTCCAAGGAAACCCTGACCAAACAAGCACATGCCTTCATCAGGATTATGTTGATGCTTGAGAAAACTAGTAATGAGGTGAAGGGGGACTGTGTTTTGGGAACGGAAGGTCTTTGTGTATGTGCATGCGGAGAGGACGTGCGCGGTTTGATCATGGTGGGGAGATGAAGACCAGTCACACTTTCCCACCACCATGATCTCCTATCCTCTTGACCATTTCTGGCTGATGTACTGTCGTTTATTGAATGCGAGCCCAAATCTGATGTCGAGTTCTGATGAGCCCATTGATTCTTGGTTCCCAATGCATTGTCTATGTTACTCCGTTACTCTGCCTCTTGTTCCCTTTGTTTCTAGCAACTACAGTACTGCATCTTCATGTTATTATCAATGTGTCATATGTATTATTTTCTGAAATAAATAATATAAAGAATGTAAAATCGTTTACTGGTCTCTATCAGGTTTGAGCAAAGGATTAGCCTGGCAAGCCATTTATCAGACACTTTGCAGAGCTCATAACAATGATTATGAGTCTCAACTTTGACCGTGAAGATGATTGGTTGTTGCGCAGGAGTATTTGATGCAGAAGCAGATAAACTCGGGCTCAAAAACATGGATCAGGAAGTACATCCACAGATACTATCACAACAAAAGACATACAAGAAAGGAACACTAGGAACCAGAATAGCGACATGATTAACTGAAACAAAGGCAAGAGCATGCAGTGGGATAACAAAACGAGATGGAAACTTGGAGAGAACAGGTGTTATCAAATCATGCTAGGCCGTGAAGAGGACAACCAGTCCATATGCAATGCCAGCTCCCATTCGGAGTCGTCAATTTCCTTCTGCAACCTTCTTGTTTCCTCCTTCTCCCTTGTGATCATCAGTTGTATCTCTATCTTCTCCTTTCAGTCTCTCACCTATCTGCTTCCACCTCTTGCCGGAGTCCTTCCGTCTCTTGTATTATTATTTCTCTCTCTCTCTCATGGTATGCATTCTCCTCCTTTCTCTGCATTTCAAGTGTCAGTATACACCCGACCTTGAGAAACGAGGCAAAAGCACACCTTTTCCCAGACGTCAATGTCCCCCAACCACTCACACCATTTCTTAAGGTAGGCTTGGGTTAACGGTCTCGAAGTATCAGAAGAGGGTATGAAGATTGGCAAATAATCCTCCGAATCTGACACGAAGAACAGACAGTACGTATGAACACACACTTTGATCTTCAAGCCATCACTTGTCTTGATGTTTGCTTCAGTTGGAATAGTCGTTGGTAGATTTCTAGTAAAGAACAAGTGAGCAACCGACATGTTTCAAGGAGAGGCTGAACTCACTTTCATAGGAACAGTTGCCTGATCTTCATTTGGGGAACATCAGTGGTCGGACCAGTCTTTTTAGCAAGGTAAGGATCATAGACAGCAATTAAAGAAATAATCATAGCTTACCTGAACATAGGATTTAATGTATGCCTGCCATTGCCCAGTCGATATCTCTAAATTATCAAAGCTGGAATCATCCTTCCCAATTAACTGCATCATCATCTTCTTGGATTCTGGCAGCTAATCCCATCCCGTCAATTCCATATTACAATCTAAAAGTGTCGAAAGAATTTACCCAGTTGATACGGAACAGATTCTCATCCGACCCAAGCACCTTTTCAGCATTATGTGGACTGTTCAGGTAGTCTTGCATCGAGTGAAGGAATACTTCGCTCCCACTTCAAAGTTTCTAGCTCTTGACTCTTGGAGTTGGTGATGGGGTGTACCCCGTTTTGAACTCGGATTATGTTTTCTTCATAGTAATATTCAGTTAGCCAGATTTAGTAGTTACAGATAGTTTAGTCCGAGTTTAGAAGTAGATTACCTCAGCAATCCACCCTTTGACTCATACCACCACCTCTCCCTGAAGTACTTGCAGGATGAGGCATTGCTCTAGCACCTATAGAGCACCTCATTCACATCATTGGCAAGGATTACTTGGACCTGTCGGACACGTAAAACACATATCATCATCAAGAAACAGCTCTTACCTGCTTGATAATCGATCTGATTAGCTTGTTGTTGGTAAAGATCTTGTAGGCTTCCTGAAGGGTAGTTATCAGCCATACCATCGAATCCTAATGAGTGAAGAAGACGCACCTTGACTCCAAACATAAGCTGCATCTGTTCTTCAAATGCTGCCTGCTCCACTTCATTATCAAACACGCATTTGCAAGATTCAAGCATCAACTCATAAAAGTGGCTCACATTCGCATTAGGATTGCTCATGCTCTGGATGAAAGCGGTAGCCCGAGGTGAAAGTCCAGTAACAATGAAGGGAGCTTTACTTTGTGGCCCCTCTGTTGCAAGCTGGTTAGAAATGTTAAAAGACAGGTATACATGACCTATCGTGACAATAGCATCAGAAGCTTTGAGACCGAATATCCGACCAATGCACCTTGAAGCAGAACATACAAGTGGGTATTCATGAAGAATGTATTCTTGACCCATCGTTGCTGGCCTTCAGCTGGACTACCTTCAGCTGGCGTGGGCGATGGCAGCCTGGAAAGAGAAGGAGACACTGCCTCTTGCACTCTAGTTTTCCGGATCATCGATTTAGCTTGCTCACTCTTGAGCAGTTTCTTTCTCAGGTCACCTGCAGCCACTCCTATGCCTCCCTTCCTCCCCCAAAAATCACAAGAGCGAAGCGGAGCCTTGCCGGGGCCTATTAGACTAGTGACCATCTCTCCGATCGCCCTTGGCATTGCAAGCAGATTAGAAGAGCCAAAATCTGCATGATATCATCGTCCATAGTGGCCGAAAGTGTTGGAGAACACATTCGACATGATGCCAAGTGTCAAGGCCACATCAGCGCCAGTTACCGGTCCGATGGCTACCGGTCTGATGGCTATCAGTTCGATGAGTAACCGGCTGGTAACTGAACAGCTGTTGCCAAATGTGGCAACATCAAAACCATCTCCTGCCCTCGCTGGTGGCCCTCTACCATGATCCTCTCCCTCCATTCTCACCCCTCATGTCCTCGACCACGATCAATATCGTCCTATCGACTTTACAAAGTCAACAACTCCCGCACCGCTCCTTGAAGAATCCCTGACTTTACAGCAATACTCAACCTTGCGATTGCGCTGATCTCAAGATGATGAGATGGTGATGACGCACTTGAGCCTCAAGTCTCGCAAATGCAACTCTGATGAGGTGTTGATGGCTGGGATGGGAGGTAATTTGTTGTGGGAAGGGTCGCATACGCAAAATTTGGACTTGGGAAGCTTAGATGGGGCTCCCATTCGTACGTTCTCATCCTCTGATGTTCTGACATCTCCGGGAGCAGATACATACATCCTCAATAAATCTACAAACAGGAGGGTGCATACTCTGTTACCCAGCAAGACAGATCTGACAACAACAATGCCATCAGATACCCAATTACCTTCATGTATCAAGCATGACACCACGCTCAACCTTGGAGCACAATGGACCTGATCCAATACGCAGGAACTAACGACGACACTTATGAAGCCTGGAAAGGCTGGACATGTGTCAGATGAGGTGTCAATATTGTTGAAGGAGGATCATCATGGACAGAGGACCCCAAAGATGGTGCATTTCGACTCGGGGAACATGGACGACGCTCTCCAACATGCCCATGTATCCAACGCTCCCGGTGCTCAGACTGGGTGTACCCCTTTCCCCGACCATGCCAGTCTAACCTCAGCCACGTCGTCTGTCCCCAGATTCCCTTCAGACCTTGCACAGGCCAAGGTGCAGGATCTTCACGTCGAGACAATGGAGATGCAAGGGAATTTCACTCTGAGGACAACTCCGA